AAGATGTACTCGTATGTTGTTCGGCGTTTAAATTTTTGCGCTTCACTGCTGGTAAATCAGTCAATCAATTTTTTTTTGTGAATACATGCGACCCATAAACATAGAGCATCTTTAAATTATTCTAAAATATCACAAGAGTTTTAGTCTTGCTTCACCTACTGCAAAATTTCAGCGGTTTTTCAGTGACTGGGCGACCAGAGCGAGCAGCATCTTGAATTGAGTAAACTCCTCCTGGGTACATGAGTTAGCGAATTACAGCATTCTCACCGCAAAAGCATTCGGCAGGTTTTCATAGCGAGGTTTTCTGGCACAATCGGTTTAGAGTTGTCCGAAATAAGAGTATCAGCACCAATTGGTGACAAAAATATGGGCAACTTTTAGTATAACCAGATTAAGCTGGACTTATATTTTTTCTTTGCTTTTTAAGCTTTTTTTCCAACTCTAACAAAACATCTTAGAAGAATATAATGATCTTAAAAACTAGTTAGCTCATATACCGAAAATCGTGTTCTCAGAAATAAGACGAGATTAAGAAATACCATAATTCAAATTTATTTGGTCCATATATCGGTTTTTTCTATATTTGCTATAGAGACACTCCACATTTCGGGAAAGAGAGTTCAAACGGGCTGCAGTGTTAGTGCCTAATGTCGACTCATCCGAAGCCCTCATCGAGAAAACTGCAATAGAATTACTGTACATGTGACAAAGGCTACTGGTAGATAAATTTTATTTTAAACGTAAAATAGTTATTATTATTTTGTTGCTACACTCCCAGCCATTTCAGTTTCAGTTTTGAAGAACATTATTGTACTATACTAATTGAAGTAGGAGACTTTGGTCGTTTGAAGACGCATCAGCTGTTACTTACCAAATGAGATCATCCTCAGCCTGCAGAATGCCATATACTCACAGACATCGTTTACTGACTCTACCAATTGCAGCATTTCTTAAATTGTTTGCCCTCTTATATATAGTTTGAAGGCATGCGACGCAAATAGGCAATGATTTGTAGACAACCTAGGAGTCTGAACTCTTTGTTGCTTGAAAACTAAATAGTAAGCTTTTGTCATATATTTTGTATATAATTTTACTTTATTTAGCAGAATTTTGTTTGCTCCCAAAGTCCCTACACACAAAGGTCTGAATTCCATAGTGGTTTCTAGTTATGTTCTCTTCAGAGTGTACGCCCTCTTTAGTCAGCTCATCGGCCATCTATCGACATTATCGATATACAATAGTTTTCTCAGCCAATTTTAGTCCCCTATGGCATACATACACTTCTTATTAGGAATAATGTTTAACTTCATTCCTCTGAAAGTTATTTCAAAAACATACCGGTTCAGTCGTTTAGGTGGGGATATGTGGCAACGCTTTATGTGGCCGTCGTGGCTGTGTAGAATACACGTAAATATCAGCCGATAAGCCCAATTTTCGTCCACTTACAGCGTTAATATCTCCGACCGCACGATCTTGGAGGCCACGCCTCAGGGATACGAAAGATACGCGCTCACCGAAAGTTTCCTTCATTGAATGGGTTAGGTGTATGGCATATAACATCGTCTTGATGAAACCAAAGGTCGACCACATCAACATTCTCCAATTCAGGCACGAAAAAGTGATCAGTGATCTATAGCGTTCTCCATTGACTGTTACATTATGGTCGGCTTCATACTTGAAGAAGTATGTACCTATGATGATGATGGGCAGACATTTAGCACAACAAACAGTTAATTTTTCGAAGATATAACTTATGGATTTTATTACTTCAAATGCGACAATTTTGTTTATTCACATATTTATTCATCCAACGAAAGTGAGCTTCATCGCTGAACAAAATTTTCTAATGAAAATCGGGAAAGAAGGCCATCTCGTTTTGGACCGAACATGGGACGCGATTTTTGGTTGGCATTCGGCTTCAATTCTTGCAAGAGTTCAATTTGTAAATCCTGCAAATCAAATCCTTTCACAAAATCTTCTAGAAAATGGGTGGGTACAGCCTCAATTGTTGCGCGCCATGGCGGATGGATTCACTCGGGTCCTCTTCGATGCTCTGCTCCACAGCAGAAAAAGCGTTAATTAAATTAATTAATTTTTCTAGTGTTCCAAAATTCTCTGGAAAGTTTTTCCATTATTTAATTAATCTAGTTTTTTGTGAGATCAGAAAGTTTTAACTAACGGTTCAACTTATTTTTATTATAAATATACTTTAAGGCCAGAGAGTTTCCGGTATTTTATTTATTTTTTTGATATTCGCAGTTTGGTTCATCACGAATTCGTTCCAACGGGATGTCCAGATGGTCAATGAAGAGTATTATTTGAGCGTTAATGCGCCAACACACCGAGCTGCAGCTGAGAACGATTGTGATACCAAAACTCGTTCACTATCATTGATAAACCATCGTAAAACTCACGTTACTTCTTCGTGGAAACCGTTTCGACTCTATTAAGGCTGTACAAGAGAATTCGCAGAGGGAACTGGGGTCGACTGATTTCAAGCTGATGGACAGTTCGTGCTCATTTTTTAACATAATAGTTAAAGACAGTGTTACCAACTTAACTTAAAAAAAGTGTTGAAATATTATCAGCGCGGGCAGTTTAAATGACAATTTCTGGCAACTTTCTGATCTTAATGTATACAAAAAAAAGAAAAAAAAAATATTAGAGCTTTTTTTGTTCGTTTTATATAATCTGTACAAAATGCTTCCTAACAACATACGAGTATGATCCGAAAAACCACTGTCTATATATGTGTGTGTGTGATCGCCATAACTAATGACTTCTTAAAAATCGAATTATGCGACTTTTATGGCGCCAATTAGTGGAGCTTACCAAAATGTGCTAAAACTCGTGCATACAATTTTGTGAATAAGGAATTAAATACAGTGAGAAGCAGAGGTGGGGGAAAATAGACAAAAAAAAAAAGCAATGTCAAAAAACGTAACAAAATGGTAAGAATTTAAATCGCCCACGCTTAGCGGAAGAGCCGAGATATACAAAGTGATTTTCATTTTTTCGAAATTTTTTCTGACAGCTGGTTATATTGTTTTATGATAATAAATTATTATTATTGTTAAGTAAATTAGACAAATTTGTCTTTTGGCTCTTTAAAATTATTTTTCTAGTTGATTTCTTGCCTTATTCACTCTTCATCATTGTCAAGCGGGTCAAAATATGGCGATTAATTGTTTCACATTCTTTCACTTTCCTTAAAACTTCTCACTTTAAAAGCTGCATGGAAGACTTTGATGTTGGAAATTTCATATAGTAAATAAATAATAACGGTGTAATTGCTATTGTGCTTATATTTTGTCTGATTTAAAAGAGAAAATTTTACAATGAACTGAATGAAAGTTAAATAAAAATTGATGGCCGAATGTTTAAGAGAGCAATTAGCACATTCTGTGTCATCAATTAATGACTTTTCATTACTTGTATATGTGGTTTGTAAGGCAAATCTACCACATCGAACCTGCTAGAATTCACCAACCCTGTCAGTTGTGGTTAAAAGACCGATGTTATCTACACTGACTCCAGCAAGGCATTTTACAAGGTCTTTCATTCCTTACTTCACTCGGTTTCCTTCTTCGCTTTTCAAACGGATTTCATTTTACTTGATTGGTAGGAAAAAAAAGTAATTTTTAAATATTGCACATCATGGGAAATAGCAGCAACATCTGGTCACCTCGGGCTCTTATTCTTCCTAATATTTATCAGTAATATTTCAAATGTGGTTCTTGTTGAGAGAAAAAGTTTGGCTGAAAATCGATTTAGCGGTTATAAAGCGCTAATTATATACAAAGGGTGATCCATTTCGAGGCTCCCAACTTCTTTAAAGAAAAAAAATACCGAAATTCAAATTTAATGGGAAATGTATATTATCATTCGAAAGAACATTCCTTGGCATTTCTTTTTTGAAGATTATCTCTTCTCAAGTGTTGGCCGCGGCTACGTCTCAGATGGTCCATCCATTGAGCCCAAATTTTTTTCCAGATAACGTCACTGTAGCTCTGATGAAGTCTAAAATTGACGACAACCCACGATCGGTACACGAAATGATTGCTAATGAATTGGGCTTGAGTGCAATGGCTGTATCGCGAATAGAAATCAATCATATAATATGAGATCAGTTTGGGAATGAAGGCTGTTTTTAGTACTAACGTTTCAGAACTCTGCTCGAGTTACGGTTTGTCTGTGCAGTTTGGAACATGGTTACACTGGATCGAGTGCCTTTAGAAATGGCATGAGTCGTCAAATATTCTATATGGCAAAACATGGGCCCGCTAACTGTAATCTTCAACAGTTGTATTAGCATATGACGAGGAATGCCAGGCAATATCAGGCCAAACGGAACTCTTTGGGGGCAATATTGATAGCCGGCGGTACCTTCAACTGAAGGTAGAAACAGCGCAAAAGCAAAACGCGTTAGCTGGAACACTGTTGACTTACGTAAGAAATGAACGAAAGCTCTATGGGAAAAACGTGAGGACTGACTAAAGTTTTTGAAAACGTTTTTATGGTAACAGAAGTCACGTTATGGCGTTCAAAATTCACAGCGTAAGACTCTATGGAGAAATATGATTTTCATAGATTACATAAAACATATGAGGACGGCAAGAAGTACACGAGATACAGTAAGAAAGAGATCAAGAGCTAAAGAGAAGATCAAAGCACATATTCAGGCAAAATAAGAGAATGCAAGTGAGTAAAACGATCAGGAACTCTAGTATAATATACGGGAACCTTATGCGACAGAATTATTATTCTGTTTGGTGATCCCAACTCACGGTGTTTTACTCTGGACTTGGATGAATAATAAAATATTAATTGTAAAATGTCTTTTAAAGTTGATTTATTGTACTTTAGTTTATATTTTATATATTTAAACTTATTAGGTGGATTGTTAATCATTCAAAAATTATAATGTTTTTTTTTTTTTTAAATTCACATCTATAACACATTTACGTTTGAATATATATATGTGCTTTAGAAAAAATTTATATCTTTCAACAATTAAATTAATGGACTTAGTAAAGCAAAAATACGAGTTTAACGGTTAAATTGTATCGCAATAACACAAGCAAAAGCCAGTTTTCGAAACCAGCTGATTAGCATATGTACCAAGCGCATCAGAATTTACTTTAACAAATGATTGAAATTCTAATTTGTACAAAAACAAAATCAATCTTGGTAATCATGGAGAGGATGCCACAATCCACTGGTGACACACATATAAATTTCTATAGTCGCATATATAATACCAAATATTTGAGTACAACTGCAAATCTCGAGTAAGCATATCCCATTTCTCTCAAGCACGAACGCTGCTGTAAGCGGCTGAAAAATATAAGCAAACACAATAAGTACATGTATGTATGTATGTATGTATGTATGTATGTATGTAAGGCTGTATGGCATCTACCATCCTCGTTTGATATTTCAAATTCACTTACTCAATTGTGCGCCCGCAACCACCGGACAGACATGTTGTTTGCTCCGATAATCGTATTCATGGTACTCATTCAGATGCGTCCAATACAGCACAGCGTTCGCCGGCAGCCTTATACCCATTTCCAATTGCGGAAAGACAATACCGCCACCCAGTTTGGGTGTGTGTAACTGCGAGTAACAATTGTAAATGGAATAAAATTGATTTTGCCACATTTAACAGGCCCCGCCTGCACCTCTAAGACCGCTACCCCATATTTTACTCACATTGAAGAGCACATTCGCCTGAGTTTGTGTTGTCGCTGACAGTAGCGGCTCTGTGTGCACAGCATCCTCATAGGACCAGCGCTGTACTTGCCATTCGTTGAATACGGCCGAAGCATGCCCGGTAGCGAATTGCAGACGTTTAGCAAGACTTGTCGAAAGCTTCTTTTGTGCGAGTTTAGTAAATTTGAGTTGTTTAGAGGCCAGAGTCACCTTCTCCTCCTCGTGGTCGATAAGTCTTTGCAAATCGTTGATTTCTTGTGCGCGCAAGACATTATGGTATATGACAATGTAAGGATCCAAACTTAAGAACTCCACTTCGAGTGGCTGCAGTGTCAGCTGAGGCAGATTACCGTTAACGAGGCGACAATCTTGTGCGCGACTGTTGGTGGTGATATGACTGCTGGTGGCGCTGGCGCTGGCGACGCCAATATTTGCTGTCTCACGACAAATCTGCTCAATCAGCAATTCTTCAACGGATTTGTCACTTCGCTAGAATGCACAAATGTAAATAAGAGCATCAATGTGAATCTTCTATGCTTTTTTATTTTTATTTTATTTTTGTATGCCTCGGCATTTATATGGAAAAATGACATAACATAAATGAAAGGGTTCGAGCACGATTGACTGTGTATTTGGCTGCTTTGTAAGCATTTTTCTGGGGAAATAAAATATAATAGAATTTATGGTATCCAAATGCAGCACGGGTATGTTAGCTTAACTAAAGGTTTAATGATGCCCGCCTCGAAGAGAACTCAGTTAGCGAATATATTGGCGAGCAGAGCTCGTAATATTCCTTATATTAGAAGTTCATACCAAATTCCATGGCACTGTGACCAATAGTATTCAGGCTTAATGTGGCACCTATGAAAAAGTTCGCTTCCTCACCTCGTTATAGAAAGTCGAGGGAAGAACTTCCGGCGAAGCGGTGTCGAGTCGCACTGAAAGCTACCGTCACCTCTAGGTTATAATATTGGTCAACAAAGAAGTTCGTTCGGTTTTTATCCAAGAGATGCCGTTATTGTCCATCGGCGCTGAGGACGTGTTTATTCGCGCTAAAAGTTCGTTTCTGACAGTTTTTCTTTCGATTGATTGACTCAGTACGTTGTGAGCGCTCGTCAAAGATGGACACCAGCAAAGAAGAAATTCGCTATATTTTACAATTTTTTTTCGATCAAGGTGAAAAAGCAGCCAAACCGGCTGAAAAAATTAATTCAGTTTATGAGTTCGATACTGTAAACGAACGTGTAGCATAAAAGTGTTTTACTAGGTTCCCTTCCGGTAATTTCGATGTCAAAGATGCATCACGCGTCGGGAGGCCTGTCGTCGAAAACTGCAATAAAATCATGGAAACCGTCACGTGAGCACTTATTTAATTACTGATGAACTAAAGACAAGCCAAAACCGTTTGGAACCATTTGCATAACATTGGATTCAAAAAGAAGCTCGATGTTCGGGTGCCACACGAATTGATGCAAAAAAACCTCATGAACTGAATTTCCATCTGCGAATCGCAACAAAATCGACCCGTTTCTGAAGCGGATTGTGACTGGCGATGAAAAATGTGTCACTTACGACAACATCCAGCGCAAATGGTCGTGGTCAAAGCACGGATAAGCGGCCCAGACCGGTGGCCAAGACCGGATTGACGGCCAGGAAGGTTTTGCTATGGGTATGGTGGGAGAGGCAAGGACTCATCTACTACGAGGTGGTCCCCTATAGCCAAACGCTCAATTCAGCCCTCTACTGCCAAAAGAAGTCTATGCTTTCAGTTTGGTGGGATTGGAAAGGTGTGGTATATTTTGAGCTGCTTCCAAGGAACCAAACGATTAATACGAATGTCTAATGTTAACAACTAGACAAATTAAATACAGCCATCAACGAGAAGTGGTCAGATTCTTGCAATCTTAAAGGTGCCTTACTCCAGCAGGACAATGATAGACGGCACACAGCCAAAAACTGAGAGAGCCTGGCTGGGAACTGTTGATGCAACGAATATAAAGCCCAGACCTTGCACCTTCAGCCTACCATTTATTTCAATCTTCGCAGAACTTATTAAATGGTAAAACTTTCGAAAGTGACGAGGCTTTAAAGTCGTACTTGGTTCAGTTCAGCGTGGAGTAATGATGTTGCCGGAAAGATGGCAATAGGTCATACATAATTGATTGAAGTCCATTATGCAATTTAAAAAAATGCATTTACTTCTTTTTAAAAAATCGCTGGTTTCCTTTGGGGAACCCCGTAATTCGTAATTTTTTGAAGTTTAAATATTTAAAACATAATACAATTTTCCACATAATTTTCATTTAAAAGTAGAAGATTTTTTTAAGAGAAGATGGTAGGGCGAAAACGTAACACGTAATACGTTTAATGTGCGAGAGAGAGCTAAGAAGCCGCCTGTAAAGAGAAATTGAAGCTCCCTTGAAATTATTGTATCATATTCCGAGCGGCCCTTGGAGTTTTATGAGAAGCTTTGAGCTTCATGTCAGAAATACACACGAAGGGCTTGACATAGGAATTGAACCCGGGCCTGTCAAATGTTAGTTAGCTAATGCTCACCATTCAAATAGTGAGGCCCTCATAATATAGCTGTCTTAGATGAGATTTACGATATGAATGTAAAACAAATTAAATTTTTTTGCATTTCGAAAGTTGGTTTCAATATTTACTTACCAATTTTTCCGTCTTCTTCTGCTTTGCCTTCTCTTTTTGCTTGGGGCTTCGCTGCGTCTTTTGCAATTTCTTTTCAATTTTTGCTTTGATTTTATGGAGATTTTTATTTTTCGGATAAAGTTGCAACATTTCGTCAGCAATATCGAGCGCAACATCAAGGTTACCTGGAAATTAAACAAACAAAAAAAAAAATAATAAAGAAAGAAAAGAATAATAAAATTATTTAAAAAGGAATTACCGTGCAATGAAAATACAGTCACTTTGCATTCACGATAAAAATTTACATGGACTTATATATATTAAAATAAATAATGTATGTACATCTTGTATATGTATTTACATACATACATACGCACTCACCCATACTCATTTCGGTTGCCATCAACTCCTCCATAATCTCAAAGCGCGCATTCTCCACAACAGCATTACTCCCGCCGCTCGGCTCCTGTGCCGCTACTTCATTCGTGTCATTCGTCATCGTCAGCGCTTTCATCAGCTCTGCGACAGGCAACTTGCCCAATGCCACATTCATCCAATATTTCGCTATCGTAAAATCACCATTTTGCACGTATTTACGACCAATTTCCAAACAATCGCTCCAGGACATGGCAGAGCTGTTAGGCAGAGGAGAGAAATACAAGGAAATGTCGAATGACAAAAATCATATTCAAATATTTCAAGTTTTCTTTGAGCAGGCTTTTTTTTTTCTTTTGTACTCGTCTACTGACTTACCCTAACTTTACACCATTCACTTCACCTTCCGCCAAACGCTTGGGTTCCAGTTGGTAGATGCCTTGTATGCGCAGCACATTGTCGGCTGCCTCGTCGAAATCACTTTCGCTTGGGAATTTTAATGATTTCCTGCTATTTGTAAGATTTTGTACGATTTCTATTGGAAAAGAAAACAACAACATTTTTAGAATTTCTTGAACTTCACAGTGTGTGTGTGTATGTGTGTGTGTGTAGGTGGGAGTGTGTGTGCGTATGCTCAAAAGAATGCTCACTAAGGATGAATGGTAGTCGTATGGGGAGTTTCAATGAGATTGGAACTTTCGTTTCGCATTAGCATTGGCATTGATAATCGATAAAGTTCATTGGTATGGCTAACTTTCATCGTTCTTGTCGTCTTGTCGACTTGTCGACCTGCCAATGTGTCCCTCAGCCAGCGGGTATGCAGGTGTTTGTGTGCATGTACTCACCTGTTGTGCTGTCAACATTCTCGGCATATTTCCGTAGACTCTGCCAATCGGTTGTGAAACGTTTGAGGATGGTCAATGCGTTCAAGGGATTACTCACATATTTATGAACATCGGTGTGTGCGATATCGTTGATGGTTTTGATTTCATTTGTTTTGCTGGAATGTTGAAAATTACATGAATAAGTTCAAGTTTATATTTAGCGATGCGTGGAAAACTGTAAACTTGATGAAGATGAGAAAAACAATCGGTCAAGCGGAAGTTATAATGTCTTTGAAGTAACCACTAAAGTAAACACAGTCGACCAATTTTAAAGGTTAGCGTTTGGATGTTGCAAGATCCAGTTGTTAGAAAGTTGGTGCAGTAATGCCTGCTGAAAGGTCGATAAGGTGCGGTAGCAATGAAGATAATTACATCACAATGAAGAACATTTATATGAGCAGAGTTCGTCTGTGACCGAACCCATAATCAAGCTAGCTTCAAACTCAATGACTACAACTTTATATTCCAAACACAGATTGTGGGCATCACTGTACGTGGCAAATGGGCAACTGCTTTAACGGGGAATCCAGGCATGCGGAACCCAAGTTCAGCTGCGTTAGAAAACAGTAGATATCACTTGACAACCAAGTCGCTAAGACGTAGAAGGCAAGGAAAAGGCGGACGAGCTAGCTCGCACTAACACCGCTGGTGAGGTTGACCCATCGACTGCCTAAGATCATTTAAATGTTATTTAAAACAGTGAACCATAGCGCAGAACTTAAGCTGTTGGAACTCGGCCAAGGTGCGACGCACCCCTACGGAGTTATGGGGCAGCGTGGATAGTATACAGACAACACAGGCCTTTGCATTAAGCAAAAGTGATATTAGCAATCTTCTTTCTGGATTATTGGGACAACTACCTCTAAGATATCATCTCTAAAATCTAGGCAAAGTAGTATCGGCGGTGTGCAGAGTAAGCACAGAGGAAGGCGAACCGCTGGAACACTACACTTCAAGTCAGAAATACACTTGCCCATGTCATTCCCGAGGGGCGACCGCAACTAGAAAATTTAACTTTTGAATGTTGGTCGCACGGGGATTTGATCCCGAGCCATACGAATGGCAATAAGCAATGCTAAACACTCGGCTACCGCGGCAGCCATAAAATAAAAACTCTCCAAAAAAACACGTAAACCGTCCGAAGGTAACCTAAAATTGTAGGTACTACCAACCGTTGGGGAAGGATTAAGACCGTCATTTTATAACCGCCAATTGCATATGTGGCCGCTGCGATAGCTGAGTCGTTAGCATTGAGTACTGCCCCTCCGAAGGCCAAGGTTTGAGTATAATTCCGACCAACATCCAAAAATTATAGAAAATGATTTTAAATAAAAAATTAAACTTAATTTTCTAATCGCGGTCGCCCCACGGCATGAAATGTCAATCCCTCCGAGTGTATTTCCGACATGAAATAAAAACTCCTTATAAAATTCCATTTGTCGCCCGGAGGTGACTCAGAATAAACTCCCGATCCCTCCATATTTAAAAAAAAATAGTTGACCGAGATCCGTTCATATTCTATTCGAATTCCCATATATCTTTTTTCCTTGACCGAGTGATTTTCAAATGCCGGATTCTCTGTTTTGTGGTTTGTGACCTTGTTTTTCGTTAGATCAAATTGAGACATTGCTCTACGAGTGTAAACTTTGGAAGCATACATATACTACTGGCTTTTGTAAGAAAGCGCTAAATGGTTGAGCAATTTAAAAGTAAGTTCTCTTTGCCAAAAGTGGCTGAATTCTTCAAGTAGATAATTAAAGCCGTCTTACTATATACAGCAAAAATGCTGACGTTGACATTCTCCTATAAGCTGGCTTTTTGAAGTTTCCGGGAGTAAGGGCTTCCTAACGATTTAAGGACCTTGGTTCAATATAATATTATGGAAAAATGATCTAAATGACCTTGACATACTGACTGGCCAGGTCGTGTCGTTCGGATGGGAAGAATACCGCTAAACCGTTGGAAATATCTCAATGGATAAATACCTGGCTATCCTTTGCGTCTCTCATTGGCGCTGAACTGGAACGAGCCAGCCAAGCAAAAAGAAGGAAGCATAACTCAAACTTTAACAGGTTTTTCTTATTTTGAATTTTATAAATATTTTGACCACATGAACTTGAGGCAGAGTGCATAATATAATTCCTTCAAATAGGCGAGTTTAAGTGCAATTTGCTCCTCTGCAGACTACTCATTGCACATATGAAAATCCATAAAGGTAGTGCGAGTGCGTGGAGTGCTCGTCAAGCTTCTGAGTTCAGAACTCCGCCTAGTAATGGAGGTTTTCACTAACCATGCTCTAAAATTAATATCAGACTTTTTGTGACGCATTTGGATAAACGAAGGTGAGACGTAATTCAGGAAGTTCTTACATATCTACCGTCCAGCTTCTATTATTAAAAGATCGAATATAAAAATTAGCTAAGAACTCTCAATTGAAGTATGCGCAGAACGCTCGCTTATTTTGATAGAATTGGGGAATAGAGTTTCCCCTAAAACAGCCTACGTCACTTTTTGACTTTTTTTCCCTTAAATATGTTCCAATGCCACATACCTCTTTATAACCTCAATTTTCTGTTGCAATTCTCGGATATATTCGCGCAGCGTTCCAATGAGCACCGTCTGCGTCTCCAAATATTGATCCAAATCATTATGATCATTTGTTGTCTTCAAAATAGTTGCTTCGAATGCTTCTTCTGCTGTTTCTGGTTGTGCCGCTGCTGGGCCAAAAGCGTTTCCACACAATATTATTACAACAAATAGCAAATATGTATGTTGCCTTGTTTTTGTTGTTGTTTGTCTGATTTTCGCTGTCATCGCTTGTTCACCAAGGTTCAATGACACTGCGCTGAAGCTTGTAAGCGTTGAAGATGTTGTTGTTACAAGCAACTTGTCTGCTTTGCCTAGAGCCACCTCGGGCTATACAAGTTCGAGCTTTCCGATTGATTTATTTTTTGTTTATTAATTTTGTAGAATTTTAGCTGAGTTTTGAATATTTCTTTATACGCTTTGCAGTTGATTCTCGCTAGAAAGATTCTAATAAACTAAATTGAAAAATTGTAAGAAATCTTGGCTTCACTCAGATCAGTTCTGTTTGGTTTAAAAAGCTTCCAGTCGATGTCAGTGACCAAGGAAGCTTTTTCAAACATACAGCATTATAGCTAACATAATTTACATAATTGGCTATTTTGTCAAGCAAGAAAAAAAGCGTATCCGCTGTCTCTTTCTTCGCTAAACTATGTCAATATCATCGTATAGCTCGTACAGCTCAGCCGTTTCTTTTGCTTCATTTTACCGCCATTTTTCCTTCCCTTTTCCTTTCTTTCGTTATCGTCAAAAAAGGGTTCTTATGTGATGGTTCCATAGCTTTGTGGGGAGGTGTAATGTCAAGATAACTTCTAGCGTTACAGTGAACTGTGGATATAGACACACGCTAATCTTTGAAGTTTCGTTTGGGGTATATGTAATTATAGGTTTGACTATCTCGTATATATACATCCATCAAGCTTTTCCTGCTAATCTTCCAACCAATCCACCACTCATCGATATTCATATTTAAGGCGTAATATGGTAATCCGCTGAGAGATTAGTAGCGTTAGATGATTTTTCTTTTAGAACCTTCCGACGTAGCTCTTTGATAAGCACCGCAATGGTGGACAAAATTGATGAGAGGCAATCCTTCAAGCTCCGGGAATATTTCGAACATCCACAAATACGCTTTCAGTTGGTATTTAAAGCAATAATTTCATACCGTATTATGTTACAAAATGTCCTCAGAAGTAGGCAGCTGTAACTAATCTACTGGGTTCCTGGCCACTAAGATATTGTGGTAGGCGAAATAGTTAATAATATTGCCAAAAGTGACATACGTATGGCGTTAGAATCAATAAGTGTAAGCCGAATGGGCTAAAGATTCCGTACAATGAAATTTCCGAAAGAGCCTCAAGACCCTTCATGTTAACATAAAATGCCTTAACGGACAGAGAGGCATACATGAGTGAGCCACTGAAAAACTTCCGCTCTTTCTATAAGGTGGTATTTAGAACACATCTCAGATATGTAGGAGATTCACTGTTCAGATCAAAAGGAAGGAAGGAAGCAAGTGAAAGTTGACCCCACACAAGGAGCGGCCTTAGAAAGAGCAATAACTGCTCATTTAGCGTCATATCTAGAAATACTGACAAGCGTGTTTAATCGTACGCACACATACACCTACATACATATATATTTGAATGTCCCGCAAACGCCGTGAATGCTAAATGCAGAAAAAATTGAATAAAATTACAAAGTAAAGACACGTGACGTTCACCCGACAAACAGCTACATACATACATACATACATGCATACTTACATATGTATTTATTTATGTTGGTATACATTGCATACCACAGAGAAACTAAGCGACAATTATGAGTAAATTAACTTATTTTTTATTTATAAACCTGCCGCTTGCTTCAAGCCCAACGCATGCTCCATGCTCCCGAAAATGTGTCAGTCGCTACTGAAGCTTCTTCGCCTTAAGCTATGACCCGAGAGTCCAAAGGCCTGGTTACTGCATCTTGCGCAAGGATTGCCAAAGTTTCAAGGCTGCGCGACGTAAACGCAAGAGTAGGAACTGAGCTGAGCACCTCGACTATAACTGCTTACTTAGAAACTTGATTACACGCCTATCAATTACCATTCATTAAGCCTTCTCAATTTCGCATTTAAAGTTCTATCGACTGAAAGACTAAAACCCGCCGTCAACAATTTGATTATACCTTATCAGTGTGACTTTAGACATGGCAAGCCAGCCATTGACCAGATATTCAACGTACGTCAAATATTGGAAAAGACCTGTGAAAAGAGGATCGGCACTCACCACCTCATCGTCGAATTTAAAGCCCGCCTTCGACCGCACGAAAAGGAGCTGCCTCTACGCTGAATTTGGTATCACTGTAAAACTTCTACGGCTGTATAAATTGACTTTAAGAAACATCAAAACCCCCGTTATCATCGGTAAGGTCCTCTCCGAGCCGTTCAATATCAAATGAGGTCTTGGACAAGGGCATACCATATCGTATGACTTCTTTTATTTGTTGCTGAAGAAAATAATACGAGCTACAGCTGCTGGCGTACGACGATGATATTAACATTATTGGCCTCAGCAGCCGCACTGTGAGTTCTGTATTCTCCAGGCTGGATAAGGAAGCGGAGCTTAAAGGGTTGGTAGTTGACGAAATAATTCCTATCATCAAAATTAACAGTCAGTGCATACGAGAAACGGCTCTCACGTCATTGGAGCCAGCAAAGTTTTGAAGTTATAAATAACTACGACTATCTTGAAACCAGCATAAACTTTAACAACAAGGCCCGACTTGAAATCCAACATTCTTGCCAAAATGTGCTACTGAGAAGGCAATTGAAAAATAAAGTCTTCTCTCGAGGGACAGAGACCATATTCTACAAGCCGCTCATCATTCCTGTCCCGGCCGACATCATATAGACCAATCGGTCTGTTGCCTTGCCTAACCAAACTTTTCGAAAAAGTGCTGCTTTCAAAAATTACTCCTTTTCTCCATCAAAATGATATTTTTCCTACAAATAAATTTGATTTTCGGGAAAAACATGGTACAATTGAACAAGTAAACCGCATAACAACTGAAATATGGAAAATTTTCGAATGCCAGGAAATAGGCAAAAGCCGCCTGCGTTGGTACGCTGGGCTGTGCGATATACGAGGTGTGACAATTAAGTAATGAAACTGATTCTTTAAAAACAGTATATTTCAAAATTATTCAACAACTCTGCTATCTCCTGCAAACTAGTCCCCTTGGGCAGCTTTACAACTATTCCAGTGCGTTTTCCATGCTTTGTAACATTTCTGAAACGTTTCGATTTGGATGTCCGGGAGTATCGTTGTCACGGCCGCCTAAAAGTCCTCAATCGACGTAAAATGATGAGGGTAAAAAGGCGATTGTTGCAATACAGCGATCCCTTTAGAGGCAAAATACTGGGACACGCTGTGGGCGGTGTGGCACGACGCGTTGTCGTGTTGAAGAATTCAGACACGAGCGATGTCTGTTCCCTCGTTTTCGCAATCTTTCGTCTACTTGGCGATAGTAGACTTGATTTACGGTGTGGTCCGGTTGAAGAAATTCTTTGTGGACGTTTTCCACGGCTGTCAAAAAAGGCAATAATCACTGATTTCACCTTCGACTTGCTCATGTGAGCTTTTTTCGCGCGAAGGGCGTACTGAGACAACCATTGCGAGCTTAAGCGTTTAGTTTCCGGGTCGTATTGAAAAAAACCAGCTCTCGTCGACTGTAATATTTTGCTGTTTTTCCCAATTTGATGAAACATTTTATTGCGACGCGTTGCTTTTGATTTCCATTTTCGTGGCGAGCACCACGAACACACGCTTACTCAACACACACAAGGTGTTGAAGACATGAACATACTTATTTTAAATATATAAAATGGTCCTTGCATATTTATTTTATATCAATACCGTATACTTGCCCCAAAACTTACCCTATACTCACATCGAATTTACTCTCTTTTTTGCAATATCTACCTGCAAGCCTGTATCCGTTAAAGAAAGTTATAAATGTATCAGGTGTACAACTTTGCTTCCGCCGTTTTCCGATAGGTGGCTGTACCGGCTGAGGCTGGTTGAAATACATAGATGATAATGCCTTTAAAGTGAGTGTGGACAGTGCCTAACGAATTGTCATCGCCGTTTCAGTGACAGTTGTTCTTGTTTTCGTATTATTCACGCTCGAAAATGTCCGTTTATGTGCCTAATTCTCGCCATTTGCGGGAAGTTTTACTTTTCTGTTACAATTCGAAAAAAAAATGCAGCTGAAGCGCATCGAATGCTCTCAGAAACTTACGGTGATGCTGCTCTGAGTGAAAGAACGTGTCGGGAGTGGTTTCAACGTTTTAAAAATGGTGATTTCGATGTCGAAGACAAACATGGTTATGATTTGTATTTAGTGGGATCAGCTCGGTGTGATTTACTACGAGCTCTTAAAACCGGGTGAAACCATCACAGGAGATCGCTACCGACCTCAACTGATGCGCCTTAGTCGCGCGCTAAAAGAAAAGCGGCCACAATATCAAGAGCGACATGACAAAGTCATCCTCCAACAGGACAATACTCGGCCTCATGTCGCAAAAGTGGTCAAAAAGTACCTGTAAACGCTGAAATGAGAGGTCTTGCCCCACCCGCCGTATTCCCCAGATGTCGCCCCTTCTGACTTCCACCTATTCCGTTCGATGGCACACGGTCTGGTAGATCAACATTTTCAATCCTTCGAAGAATTGGAAAAATGGATTGCTTCATTGATAGCGTCAAAAGAAGACTCCTTTTTTCGAGCCGGGATCCGAAAATTACCGGAAAGATGGGAGAAAGTTGTCGCTAGCGAAAGACAATACTTTGAATAATATATCTGTAAGCACTTTTTCGCAATCAAGCTTAGCTAGAACTTCAAACGGTTATGTTTTAAATAAATACATATAAATAAAGTTATAAACTATGTAATTTTCAACAACAACAAATAGAAAAATAAATAAAAAAATATAAATAAATATTCGGTTCAAGTGGAAAATATATTCATATAATATAATGATTAGAAACACAAAATCCAAATAAATCTAAATTTATACACAAGATTTTATACTATACTGGATATGCCCATAATAATTCCCATTCTCCAGATTATATTAAATATCCACCTTAAAGCTTACCTTAACTCAATGAAACAGCCAAGTGCAGTCTTGTCCCTCATTTCCCATTAAATTTTTAAGTCTTTCTTATGACTTCACAGACTGGCTTATAATGTCTCGCTTGTAAACCTTTAAATGCCACAAAGTGTACATTTTTTACGATTAAACATACATACTTACATATATGCATTTCTGTACGAGTATATGAGTGTATGTATGTATGTACATATGTACTATATATGCCAGTATATCATTAATTTATATTTCACCTGAATTGTTGCTGTACCAGTAACTGAATTTTCATGTCATTCATTCTCCGATATCTGACTGATTCTACTTGGTTTTGTTTTTGTTTTTGTTTTTGTTTTCATTTTCATCTTGTCTACGTGACTACGAGTAAGAATTATTTATATTTTTCGTTTCGGTTTGATTGTTCTTTTTCTTCAAGTTGCTCTGCAATAAAATATACATTTTTTAAATGACTCGGCGATAGTCTGACGCTGGCATGCATAATATAAATGTATGTATGTAAATATACATGTATATATGTAAGTATAACTGTATATATTTGATTATTGTACAAAAAAAAAATGCACATTTATTTGTAATGTATATGTGTGATTGTGTGTTTGTTTTGTGGTTGAATGTGGGTAAAGTGAAAACAGATGCCAAGCACATCGAGTTCGTAAATATTCAAAAATGAAAAGCCGAAAAAAAGTCAAGACAAATCTTTGGGCTATATATGGGTACAAATATTATACACATAAATAATATATAAATGCACATGAATGTAAGTGCATATATAAGTATATGAATGTTATGGTTTAGAACAGCTGTGTAAATATATATATACGAGCAAATCTATGTTCCCTGAAGGGAGAAGTTGTACTAGTAAGCAAACAAACTAGTTAAATACTAGTATTTTAGAGACAAGATCATCTATATATATGTATGTATATATTATTAGTATAAACCGTAGGTCCCTCTATTTGTAGGAAAAAGCATCAAGACGCATATACATACATATATATATATATATCTATATAATTACCGCTTTGCAACCGCTGAAGCGTTTTTTTGGCCGAGCTCTTCTTCCAATTTGTGGTTTTTGATGTTTTTTTCCATGAAATGGAGGGAACTACAGTTTATACTAAGTCGTCTCCGAACGGCTAATTGTTTTTTTTATGAGGAGCCTTTATTTCATGTCAGAAATACACTCGGAGGTGTTAACATTCCCTGCCGACGGGCGACCGCAATTAAAAAATGTAACTTAATTTTATATTTAATTCAATTTTCTGTACTATTTTGGATGATGGTCATACCAGAACTTGAACCCAGGCCTTCCGAATGACAGTAAGCAATGCTAACCACTCGGCTACCGCGGTCGGTTCATTTATATAGCAGTTCAACACAGTAAATGGAGTAATATTAATTTTGACCAACATGTGTTGTTGTTATATCTAACTCGCCTCGACTGAGTTCTGCTCTCAGCAAAATGATCGTTTCATGACGTTTATCACTTCGAAAGTCACGAAAGCCGTTTGGTTAGAGATTTTCGCTTTAACGCGTTAGGTTCACGGTTCGTGTTTCGCTGCCTGCAAATTAATTTATACCAAATTTTTTTTTGTGAAGTAAAAATTCAACATGCTTAAATAAACTAGTATACAACTAGTATAAAACTGATGCAATGTCGTACAATTGACTGTTCGTAGGACATATCGGTATTAAAAATACCACTTGCTTTCATGAAAAATAGATAAAAGTTGAACTTTAGCGCAAAAATGCTAACCAATTGGATTCTAGTTAACAAATAGCATTTTTTCCCGCAGGGTTATAATAAAAATTTTCTTATTAAATAAATATTTTTTAGTTTGAGTGGCATTACGTTTGTGTTTTGATAGACTTTATATATAAATTTTGTTTTTGCATAAATACATACATATGTATGCACATGTCAAGAAGTAAAAATATTTTTTTTTTTAGTTTATTTTATTTTTCTGATATTTATTTGCAAAAATTTCATTTTGTTTTTCACAAATTCATATAAAACTTCTAAGCTAATTTACATACTTTATTTAATCTCTTATGAGTCTTGATTTTCATTTCAATGCAAACCTTTCCATGGTAGGGATTTGTAACCATCCTGCTCTAGGCCACATGGACGATTGAACTCTTGGCCGACGATGTGGAACCATTCGTTGCAAACTGAAAGGGCATTTGAAAGGGGAAAAGATGTACATACACAAATAAAAAAGTTTTTTTATAAATTAAAATGTTAATATTTTGTTGAATTTATGTTTACTCTTGTAAAAATATTTTCATTACATTTTTTTTAAGAAAGAAATTTTTTTCTTCAAATAAAAAGTTATATAATAATTTTGTATATTTTCGACTTATAAGGTAAGCTCACCAAGTACTAATAATATACAGAGCTTAGCTCTGAAAGCTGCTAATTCGCTTCACCTTCAGTCAATAAAAAGTAGGATCGACAATTTTTTCTCTCAGGGCTAAAGCCACTCTAGGATTTTGGAAAACGCATTTTGTTTTTTTTTTGCTCACAGGGTACCTTTAGGTCCTAGAAATGATATGCTATTTAAAGTAGTTTAAAGTTAAAAAACAAAAAATGTTTCAATTATCGGAACTTTTTATTTTGCTGCAGCCTTCAGAGCGTGCGCTGAGTACATTGAAAACTTTAAGGGCGTTTTTATCAAAATCAAATTTTTCAATCTGGAAGTGCAGATTATTCGGACCCTATTGCATCGATTTGTCTGAAATTTTGATTATAGCTTCACAAATACATTTGTTTTGAAAATACGCAGCCGTTTTTTTATTAAATGTAAACTTTTTTTTTAATAATTTATTGCGTATTTTTTTAGTCAAAAGTCAAATTTTTTGAAAAAGGGTGCTGCTTACATAAAAATAAGTTAATAAATAAAGCCCTACGTACTTTGAAAGACCACAGTTTGAAGATCATACAACTTTTTTGCTTTTCTGTTCTAGGTCCCATCCTTTAGAAGAAATCGGTCCTCCCACGGACGCTTTTCAAAAAAACATGGATTCTAAAAAGGACTTTATCACCGCCATTTTGTAACGAGATAATAATTAAAGAATATTTTTTATACTTCTTCATATGTTGAATGAAATGTTCACACAGAAATTCGATTCATTTTCTCATATATATATTTATATTTATATATATCGCTCAAGCGATTTTCGGTCGAGCTTCTCCTCTAATTGTTGGTTTTGCGTCTTGATGTTTTTCCAACAAATGGAGGGACCGGACCGACAGTTTATACTAAGCCGCGTAGGAACGTCTGAAGGTGTTTTTATTAGGAGCTTTTATTTCATGTCCGAAATACACTCAGGGGGTGGACATTTCCATATACCTACAATAAATTCAAAATATGAGTCCTTTTTCAACCTCTATAGTGGCTTTATCCCTTAACGAAAATCACTTTGTATTTTTTGGTTTAGTGCTTAATTCTTTCTTCAACTCCAAATTCTTATTTTATTTAATAAACTTTATATTTCATATTGCTAAAGCTGTCTGGGCAAGAAGCATTTGATCAACCAAATTTTTCGGACTCAGAAAAGTAATAAGGAATTTGTAAAAGTTTAGATTTGGCAAACCGAAAAATGGCCTCACCAATGCAAAATATTTTGATAGCAACTCGATTAAAGTCTAAGCCAACTCAAGTACATATATACTAAAGAAAAATTTTGTTTAAAAAATCGCGGTTGTGCAAGCACCGAATCGATGCAATTACGGCGTTATGAATACTCAGCTGGCTTCAGTTGTTGTATTAACTGGGCTTTATATATAGGCGTAAGATAGTCCCAGCTCTTGAGAACGTCGAGAAATATACTCATTCGGGTTCACGGCAACACTTTCATTTAGAGAAACCATATTTAAGGTGGAACCAGCAGAACTGGTATGACAGTTGAGTTTGATAGATATTAAAATACGGCTCTGCAATTTTGTTATCATGAAATATATAATCCCATATACATATATATATATGCTATATATATATATAGTAAGACTAATACTTTAAGGAGCACAATGAGATTACTCTAAGGCTTGGGTGCGTCGGCTTACTGTCAGATCTTCAACCTTCACTTTCAACCAATGCTTTGAAATATTATATTTTATATATTATATAGTATATTGGTGTATAATACTGTGACAGACTGTGCTGAAATCTGAAGGCAGAGAGCTCTGATTGAAAACTAAATATCGAACTGCAACCGATAAAGACCGATCACGAAAAATACAACACTACCACTCAAGAATAGAGAAAAAAAGCAGAGGAGGGAAAAAAGTCGAAAAAGACACCAGCAACCAGATCTTTTAAAAAAAAAAAATATTTTTTGTGAAAGATTAATTTTAACAAATACGACTATGGAACTGAATGTGAGCCCCACCGACATTATCTACGTGTACGCTCAGCAATTTCACGCGAAAGACAGCGTCACGGTTTACATAATTGATTTATTTGCTCACAAGCTTATTTTCTAAAAATTACTCAGGCATACTAACATTACTTTTAGTAAGGTTCTTAATACTTCATTCCAGAAAATTTAAGTTGGGGCCAACTCCAACTCAACTCAAAATTGTTTTTAAGTAGCTCGGCGTTTTTAGTGACATTTAATTTTTTTAATAAAAATGTTTGTACTGAAATATTTTATGAGAAAATATTCAGTGAAGTTGTTATTGTTGTTGTTGTTGAGGTAAAAGTATTCCACAAAGTAATTTTGGGGATTATTGCGCGAGTGACATTGCTTGGCCGGAGAAAAATCGGAGTCGTTGAGGTATAAAAACTCAACTGTCGCGGGATCTAGTCGTCTCTTTCGACCTTATCGCGGGAAAATACTTGAAAATATTGCATCTAGCCATCCGCTCACTTACCTTTGAGGGAATGTAAACAAGTTTGGAAAATATACATATGTAGATCCAAGAACTAGGCAATTAAAACCCAGTGGAGTAAATAAATTATGTTGGAGAAAATAACTTTAAAGTCTCAGAGAATCATTCTAAGTTCTATTTCTATTTAAATTTCTATTCCCTTAATAGTTTTTTCTAACTATGAATTTTCCGACTGAAAACTGTTCAATATTTTGAATAAATGAAAAAAATGCTTAGATTCACTTACTCCATTTAGAGCCCACCAAAACAGGACAGCCGCCGTGTTTGGTACGATAATCCAGTTCCAAAGATTTATGTAAATTATACCACACAATCATGCTACCTCGAATGGGAGGTGCCAACAAGCGTAGATAGGGGAAGGCCGTGCCGCCGCCAAGCTCCACTTCGTTGATCTATGTGGAAGCCAAATAGTTTTGAATGTTAGTTTCAAATAAAATTATTAGATCTCAAAAAGCATTTGAAAACATTTAGACTTACGTAAAACAACGCGGTCAATAGGCGATTACCTTGGCCATCGTAGTCTTCGTCCGGATCATCTTCCTATATATATATAATATATATACATATATATGTATATTTTTAGTATAAACTAAACAACAATTTAATAAACAATTTTACCTCACTGAAATCATAATGCGCGCCATAGTGACCACCAATACCGTAATTGGCCACTTGCAAGGACTCACCGGACTCCAATGACAAACCCGTCACGTCACGCAAACGCTGTGCGATCTTATGCAAGAATGCGTTTTCGGTTAAATTAAGCCAAGTATTTTGACTTGTGCGTACTTCTGAGTAACCCGATTGTTTCGAATCACCGACCATGGATCGCTCCACCATATGTTCAGTGGCGTTTATTATACGCGCCATTTCATTGTCATAAATAGTTTCGTGATAGTAGGCAATTGGTGGATCATGACTAAGTTCTTCCTTCTTGAATGGTGCCAGCCGGCAGAAGGGTACGTTGTTGTGTACATAGCGACAGCGTAAATTGCGTTTTTCGCGTGGCGTTTGCTGCCGATCGCCATTGCAGGTCTGATCGAAAAGTTCGTCGAGCTCGGTGCGCTGTGTGCGAGAGGCACAAGATAGCACATGCAGATAAGTTAGTTTTAAATAGTGACTTGTGTATAAATACCTGCAGATAATTATTTGCTTCATCCACAACTCTAACTGCGTTACGCTCCGCATGCGCTTTGTTCAAATAAAGCAACTGATTCTTCAAAGCGTTCTCATTTGTCGGCTCTTGCGCCAAAATCTCGTCATTGAAGAATGAAGCCAAATTGGATTTACCTAAAATTCCATTAAACAATCAAATTTACACTTACAATGGACCATATTTTGGCGAACTCACCTAAGTAGAACAATGCAGCGGCGAGCAGTTCCAGCACCTGTACATCGGTAATGATTTCCTTAAACTCCGGCACGTCGTTTGACGCGCGCAATTCCTCGGCTAAACGTATGCGCGCTTGTATCAGCCATTCGCTGGCATATTTGAAATCTCCAGCCTCATACAAGCTGCGACCCAACCAATAGCATTCGCTTGTTGAGAAATTTTGTCCATAATTCATTTCCTTCAGATCGCCCTCGGCCACATCGATGGTCGCTAGTTGGTAGGTGCGTTGTAGGCGTGCCAAACCTTTACTTGCGCCCTTCAAATCTTCTTGGGTTGGTGCAGTGTAGCCTTCTTTACTATCCAACTCGGTTAGATTTGCCGTGTATGCTAGTTTTGGTTGGAAATATTTTTAGTTTTGAAAACTACTCTACTCTCACTCACATACCTGCAGCGTGTGTGCCATCGAACACCGTTTCATTCAGTTTCTTCCAATCGATGACGAAACGACTTATGATCTTATACGCATTTAATGGATTCTCATAATATTCCTCCGGATCTTCATCGGCCTCCTGCGAAGCGTACGCCAGTTCGCTGAGTGTTCTATGGAGAAGTTCAATACTCAGTTTCCAATTTCCATAATTTTTTTTTTTGCCACGTTCTCAACTTACTCATTCGCTTTGCGGCTAATTTCCTCCATCGCTTCCATATATTGCTCCAGAAAGCCAATTACTTGCATTTCCGCCTCTAGCAGATCGATTAGACTCACGATGGATGTATAATAGTCGCCTCGAACATTTGAGCTGAACATAGTCAGCAGCGCTGCTATTAGGAAATGCGTGACTTTCATTGTTTTGAAGAAGTCTTTGCTACTTAGTGCTACCTCGTTGGCTTTGGAATCTTAACTGAAATGAAACTTATCCCAATTCTTGCATTTTACATTTTGTGGACAAAATTATTTAGAGCAACCCAAACTGAAACTCATTGTTTACACAAGTGTTCCTTAAAATGCCGGTTTGAAAGGTTCAAAAGAACAAAGAGGGAATGTGAATGCTCTTATTTATTCATTTACGTACACACACACATATTAACGGTACATGTCTATTTCTTATTTCGGAAATATAACTTCCCGTTTCACTATATATATATATATAATTGGCGCTTTGTAGCCGCTGAAGCTATTTTCCTTCGAGCTCCTACTCTATTTGGCTGTTTTACGTCCATCAAATGCAGTTTATACTAATCCGCCTTCGAACGACTAATGGTTTTTTTACGAGGAGTCTTTATTTCATGTCCGAAATACATTTGGAATGGTTGGCATTACCTGCCGAGGGGTGACCGCAATTAGAAAATTTAGCTCAATTTTTTATTTAAATTAATTTTCCATAACTTCTGAATGTTGGTCGCACGTCGATTTGAGCCGAGCCCTCCGCATGTCAGTACGCAATGCTCACCACTCGGCTACCGCGGCCGCCTTCGATATAATATATATAAATTGACGCTTTGTAACCGCTGAAGCGATGTTCGGCCGAGCTTTGGGGTTTGCATTTTGATGTTTTTCCAAAAAATTGTGGGACCTGAAATTTATTCTAAGCCACTTCCAAACGGCTGTTGGATTCTTATGAGGAGCTTTCATTTAATGTCAGAAATACTTTCGAAGGCACTGACATGCCCTGGGCGCAATTACTGTATCAAATGGGCGATGAGCGGCTAAGCGGAGAAATGAATGGCGCACAGTTCTTAACTCGACTATAGCCGCGTAAGTTGTGCCGTATCGAATAAGGACTACGATAAGTACATATGAATAAGTACAATAAATTAGGGGTTTGATAGTGTTCGTGTTCTTCGAGCCTTCACATCGAAATTTTCGACGCTAAACCTGTTTGCTGAGAAATGTTTGATCTCGCCACTTATAAAATATTCAATTTGATATTGATATTGAATACACGTATTTGTTTCGAGCCGTTCTTCGATGCTTTTTACTATAAATAAAATGGAAATAATTTTTTTTGTCGAAAGGCTTATAGGTTTTCTATTTTCATTGTGACAACCCAGGGAACCGCGAGCCGATGAGCTGAACGGGTAAAGAATAATCATAAAGCCGGTAAAATCTGCATATGATGTAGGCACACCTCTCTCTCCTCTTGGTTAATACCAGATTTCACCAGAAGGACCAACACAGCATGGCAGGCTAGACGGCACCACTGCAATTGATCAAAGTGAACAGAACCAAGTTTTTACTCCTTCTAAAAATGACCTCCGTGACCACCGATTTGTTAGCAGGACACTATGGGGACTTATGGTAGAAGGCTGTCTCTCAAAAATCTTTTCTGTTACTGTATGAAATTTATTCTTCGATTGCTTAGCAGAGCTTATGTCTGTAGGTATCAATAATCACCTGAATTTCATAAAATACACTAAAAGGCTTGAGCAACTGGAAAAATGAGAGAAATCTTCTTCACAGTACCAACATGGGTACCATCCCCAGATCCGGTAAAACAAACTAGCTGACTATTGTATAACTTTTAAAAGTGTTTGGAAATTGAAGTGACTTAAAAGACTTTTTCTTATAATGAAATTTGCACTGCTATAAAACTGTAAGACTGATTTGCGTTCAAATGTAGATATAGCAAGTCCAGTCAGCTCCTCATCTTCTTGAATTCGATTAAAATTTTGCTAGGCTTATCTCTTCCCATTCTGAAAATTTCCAACAATTTTCTAAAGTTGTAATCCAATCAATCAGGGATTGCAAACCGTACTCTGTTAAGCTAATATTTGGCTTAATGGGTGCGTAAATAAGCAGAATTGTCCATTTTCGATTGAAGATCAGTCAAAGGCAGTGCAAGAGTTACCAATGCATTCAGAAAAAGTCACAATTTGGGACGGTTTATGGGCTGGTGGCATCATTGGACCGTACTTCTTCAAAGGTTACGCGAATCGTAAAGTAACTATGAATGGTGAGCGCTGCCGTGAGATGATACCAAACTTTTTTTTTGCCCAAAATGCAAGAGCTTGACTTGCAGGACATGTGGTTTCCAGAAGACTGTGCTAAATGCCACACAGCACGCGTAACAATGGACTTATTGAGAGGCGAGTTTTGTGAACATTTCATTTCACGTTCAAGACTGGTCAATTATCCACATGGGTCGTGCGATTTAACACCTTTAGACTATTTTTTGTAGGGCTATCTTAAATCTAATGTCTATACAGACAAGGCCGCTTCAATTGACGCATTGGAAGACAACATTGAAACCTTTGTTCGTGAGATACCGGCCGAAATGTGGGAAAGCGTATGCCAAAATTAGACTAAGCGGATGGACTATTTGAGGCGCAGTCACGGTTAACATTTGCTTGAAATAATCTTTAAACATTAAATTCATTTTGCATTTTTCTGAAGTTTATGTGTTTTTTGAAAAAAAAAATTCTTAAACTCTTAAAAAATCACCTTTTATAATTTCGGTGATTTAAATTTGTTTAATATATTAATTCCCACTCGCTTAGATGCCTCTTTGAAGGATAATCCCGAACCTCGGATGTGTGGTGTCCATATGATATAGTCCTCGAATTTCGATGATTTTCGGTGTCAATGTTCATTTATATATACATACGAGTATAGGCGAGTGCAGAATTCTAAATTTCAATTTCACCCTTTCAGCTGCTTTTTTGACGGATTTTATACGGAAAATCTCTAATATGAAAAATTCTCATAAACCTCCATACATATTTACATCTAAGAACATCTGCCCATCAGTACCCTTTGTTATAAAACGCAGACTAAAATTCAACATTCCATGCTCAGTTGTTAATCTAAAAATTCTGTACCGCTATTAACGGTGTTTCGACTATCTATGTATATACGTGTATGTACATATTTGACTCAACCCACTAGCAATTAATTGAACTGCTCATGTATACATATTGACAACATTTTAATTATTTCGATATGCCCCGGTAACAATAACAATATTTGATAAACAAATCGACGAAAGGGCACATGCATGGCATATATGAGGTAACGTAGAAGAAGCAGCAGCATGGAAAGTGCGGAAAAAATCGTGTAAACTCGTACCAATTATCTACAATAGATAGTAGACACCCGGTCATATGTTCTGCAAAATTGCCAGCCTTTTATCACCTTCGGCACCAGCTCTGCCTGAGTGCTTGACATTGTGTACGTACGTGTTGTTGTTGCATTTAACAATAAGTATATTTAGTTCTAATTGTTTTGGCCCATAACTGTCGCTTTCATTTAGTCGCTAACAATCGTGTGTGGCACACTTTTAATTGTTTGCTTACGGTCAGCGCCTGCGTAACGGTAATATGATGTATTTAGTGCAAATTTTATGTTTGCTGTTCGTCATCCGTTGTGGTGTGTCAGAAAATGACGAAAATTTCGATAGCCTAACGACATCTGTTGCCGGCTTGGAACAGTTAATCGAAACGGAATTTATTCTTATTCAAAATTTGGAATATTACGCCGATGAGTTGCAAGACAAATTATATATAATTCGCAGGTGAAGTGGTTTTTGTGATATGTGAAATAAAATAAATTTGATTTGATTTGAGTAAAGGACAGGAGTGAATCAAGTGTGTGTTAAAAGTTGGCCAATATCCTTCAAAATCAGTTATACAAAGGTTGCTTTTTATATTACTGGATTAGAGAACAAACAAAAATATTAATAATCGAAAATCGTTTTATTGTTTTTCAAAATACTTTCCATTAAGGGGGGAAGCTGGTGTAAAATTTTGAAAAACCGAAAAAAATTTTTTTGCTATAGAAGGTGCTTTAGGGTCTTAGAAATAACATACCAAAAGATGGATGTCGACAAAAATGGCCAAATTTTTCATTCAACGGCAGTGCCTCGCAGGTATGCCCCAAGCGACGTACAACTTTAAACGCGTTTTTCTCGAAATCTCTCTTTTTAAATTGGCCGAAGACATAACTCGAACAAATCTTCAAGATTCTTACGAAATTTTTACAGTACATTCGAAATACCGTTCTCCGAAGACGTACGTAGGATTTTTTTATATTCCATAGTTTTTTTGTAATCAACAATTTTATTTCGTTTTTTTAGTGAAATTTATAACTTTCTGTTCAAACGTGCACCATTTCGCGAAAAAAACTATATATCGAAAAAAACCTACGTACGTCTCTTTCTGTTGTTATGTAATGTAGAAACAAAAAAAATATTTTTTGATTCAGAACAAAAATTAAGAAGTTTACATCTTCGGCCATGAACCCATTAGAAAAAATGTGTCTTCGAAGAATTGCTAATTCATGCGAAAAATTTTGTATTTGTACCATGAAACCTATATTATTAAACCTATTTTGGGTTGATTCCTTTGTTGAGGCAAAATAAATTCATAAAATGTGCCCATTTTTTTGCGCTCTAGACCAGCTTCCCCCCTTAAAATCAATACACTTTTGCATCCCTTTGAACCAATTGCTTAAGTCTTTTGCCACCCTGATCGCGGTGTTTCCAAAACATACGTTCTAAACGCATCAACCACCGCTTGATATGTTGAAAAACGTTGACCTCTCAGTTTACGTTTATCAGTTTTTTACGGCAATAAAAAGAATTCAGAATTATACGGTGAATGGTTTTTCAGATCGATGTTTTGAGTTATCAAAAATGCAGTTGTTGAAGTCTCATTGTCGAGGTGAAGATTGGTCCGTCTTCCCGATTTCTTAAAAGATAACTGGCAAACAATAGCTGCTGTTGGCATTCATCATCTGTTAGAATATCATAGAGGTGTTTCGAACCACTAAGGTTTTTTTTACATTTCTCTTGGTCAATAGACACTATCCTTCTTGGGTTACGTCTTCAAGTAGTCATCTAATGATTGTATGTTATTGTTGCTGCTGTAACCGCAAAATAATCCCAGAATCGATTTTCGGGGAATATTGGGGGGGAGACAGTCTTTGACCGGATAAAAATCCGAGTCATTCCGGTATAAAAACCCGACTCTCGCCGGAACTATTGGATTTTAGTCGCCTCTTACGACAAAAATGCTTTACCACGGGTAAATTCTTCTACCCCTAACTCGCAGGGGCTATATCGAGTACATTCTTCAAAAGAAAAACTTTTAATAAAATTAAGTTAATTAATCGGAGATCATACTACAATGTCCTGTGGGTAGTTGATTGCACTAAAATTTTAATTTGAGTTCAGATCAAATACACCTTGCAGAGATGGTGATATAAGACGTAACTATTTCCTCTGCCACTGTCACTATCAGAACTCTTACGCGCAGCATTTCTCTCAGAAACTCCAAGTGCCGTCCCATCACATATTGTCATCGTCAACGCCTCCGCACTATGTAGCAGAAAGGGAATGACGATTGATTTGTACTCAGTTCAAAGTAGCGTCGATTTGAGATAGTGATTCTGCGTTGGCCTTCAAGGCTTACGTTATTATTGAAGCTAAAGATCGTTCCAAGATAAATGAAATTATCTGTGACTTCAAGGTTGCCAAATTCAGTAATGTGGTATAGAGGCAGCACCTTTTTGTGTCAGCCTTTTGAAGACAGCTTTAATATCGATGAAAAGGTGCTACGTATCGTATTTTTTCTAATGGGTCTTTCCCAAGATTTGTCGCTTGGTGAATATCTGCTGAAAGCAGAAACCAAAGCCGCACTGATGAGGTCCAATCACTTCATTGATGATGGGCCTTAAACTTGTACACAATACGCTCGAGGAGATCTTTTAGGCGATATTGGGAAGCCTTATCCTACAATAGGCATACGTTGTGCGTTGCGTCTACCATATTCTACAAAGAAGCTCATGGACCTTGTCAGTGCAACGTTGTCGTATCTGAAAAGTTGCCAACAATTCATCAGTTCCCAGTTTTGCGTTTCACTGCTACTCAGTAGACCAGATTAGAGTAGTTTTGAATCATTTTCTAATTTGACAGATTTTCTCGAAATTCCTAATATTATCCATTTTGGCCAACTACTTTTCATACTCACGCATTACGAACTCTCTCATTTTCTCTCTGCAAAAGCGTCTCGTTTTCTTCTTCACCTCTCGATATATTACGTATTATATTACATTTTTTTTTTTAACTTCCAATCTGAGCACTCATTATTCATACATATCGATTATGTGCATTCCCCACAGTTTGGTTACGAATCTACGTGAGGAGAACAATAAAGCCCGTCAAAATCCAGGATATTATGTCTCCATACCAACAAATGTCCTTTCACTGGTGCGTCGTTTGCAAAAAGATTGGGTATATTTGGATATTTATATGAAACAAAGTGTTGGCGAAAGTAAGTACACGAAAGTGATTTGAAAGTCGAAAGGAAAACATGTAAATTTCCCTCTTTTTATGAAGAACAAATCAAAGCGCTGCATGAACATTGGTCACATTTACCACAACCGGGGGATGTGGATGAAGCTGTGAAGGCAATCAGCCGACTGCAGGACACCTATGAGCTTCAAGCAGCAGATCTAGCGGATGGTTTAATAAATGGCAAGAAATATGAGTAAGTAGATACGAATATACATACATACATATGTACATATGTAAGAGGAAAAATTTAAGTCTTTCAAAATTAGCAAAATTTATGCCGCTACAAGAATAAAACTAAAACTATGCTCTCAAATAAGTCTAAACTCTGTTTTTCGAAATATTGACCGACCCAATCTTTTTTGGGGATATTTTGATTAGTTTTTGTTTATTTTTTATAAATATTTGGAATTTTCGGAATATGTTATTTGGGGTTGGGGTGACTACCGATCTATCGTATCGATTAAACTTGGGCCTGACTAAGACCCATTGTGATGCTAACAAAACTTATTAGGCTTCATTATCCAGCCATTTTAATTCTCTAATGAACCTCATTAGAACCAAGACTTTGAACTTGGCTATCTTTCGAACTTAGCCATGCTCAATAAAGAACAGCCGCATAAGATATGGGTGAACGTTTCCTCCTCCTCATCTACCTTGCAGCTTCTGCATCATCTTTTATAAGGATTCCCTGCCAAAACTCCTAGAATATGACCCCTCTTTCTTTTGTTGGAAAAACATCAAGCCACAAAACCAAAAATTGGAGGAGGTCCGCGGCTGAAATCGCTTAAGCGGTTCAAAAGGGCCATATATTTATTTATATTCCCCCTCTTTTTAAGAAGTACATATCTCGTTATCTCTTCTTATCCCCTTTCGACCAGATATGCGTGGATTTGCGGCACTTAGTAGTTTCATTCCACATTTACTAGGCTTTTTCATATGTTAATTCCTACAGAAACAGTTAGCAAAAGAGAGACAGTCTGTTCTATTTGGCCACCTCCTGAAAAGATCGGCAGCAGTCCTATACTAATTTGGAATTTTAGTGTAAGCAAGCTTTTAGTGCTGCTTGAGTATCGTCTCGGTTCTGATTTACCTCGCAGCCTCTGCGATAGCAGATACTTCCACCTAAAAAACATTGCAATAGTCTGAAAGAGAGTTCCATCGGTGGGTTCTCTGAGAGAATACCGCCGCCAACTTTCCTCTTAAGCGGCTGTCACCGAGAGTATGATAGTTATCGGCATATTCTTCCCTGCTGTAGATGCATCAAGATAATATTGAAGTGGTTGCCGGGTCTAGTGTTTTAGATCTCAAGTTTGTAACATGAGTATATTTAACTTTGGGCAGATGTATGTAAGTACCGGAAGGGTAAGAGATAGACCTATCCCATCTTCAACCGATATGATCAGAATAACTAGCTGAATAGATTTAGCCATGACCGTCTGTCCATCTGTTTGTATTCTCAATTTCTAAGATATTTGAACGAAAGTTAGTTCGCGTTTGCATTTTTGTTATGTACCGATGCTTCGCTGGAAGGGGCTAGATTGGACGATGATATAGTCGACCCATAGCTCCCATACGTCTGATTTGTTCTCATTTTTACAAACATATAATGAAAAGCTTATTGGTAATAAAAATCATAGAGCTGCCCTTATATAACCGATTTTTTCAAAATTTGTTCAAAACCCCGTGAAAAGTATCTAAAGATGAGGAACTTCCATCATGTTGTGATAGATGGAGATAGAGCACAATTGAGGAGTAAAGTAAGACGCATGTGCAGACCAAAAAAAGATAGCCCGAGATGCGTGAGTATGAAGGGTCTGAGAAGCAGGCCTACAAAGGTGATGCTCGAAAATTCTACGAAAAGATACGGCGCAGAAGGTTTCAATACCAAAGCAAACACTTGTGGCGCTCAAAGTGTTGGTCTGGTGACTGAAGCCCAGAATATACTGAATTTTCGGGGAAAAATGTGTCATTGCTCGACTATGAATATTCTACCATCTTCATAACAACACGTCGAGGCCTATAGATTGCGACCGAGCTTTTCTAGTACGGCGGCGAAGACCTCTACGACCAATGCTTTAGGCTGTGGGCTGTTTCGTTAGCCCTCATATATATAATTACTTTACCTTTTACCTCGTATATAATCTTGATAAGTTCGATGTAAGGAATTCCTTTCTTTTCTTATTAATTTCATTTTTTTCAGCACCAAACTAACAACACTCGACTGTTACACAATGGGCTATGAGCTCTTTAATCAAAATGATTATATAAAGGCTGGCTATTGGCTTTATGCGGCAACGCAATTATATGAAGACGATGTGATGCTAAGACTGCATGATTTGAGTAATGCCAAAATTATGGAACTCTACGCTGAAACGCTGTTAAGGCAAAGTAATTGCAATTGAAAAACAGAAAAAAACTGAAACATTAATCTCCTACATTTTCAGTGCGCTATCAGGATGCACTCTCAGTTATGAAGGTGGTCCAGGCTTTACCCTCCACACCGGCAACGAATTCACAACTGTTGAGGAAAATAAACGAAGTGGACCTGCACATTAAGACCTACAATCCAAGAGTAGTGCCGGTAATATTATTTTATGCGACAAGTATGAGGCGGATGTTCATTTAGTCTTCTTTTATCTTTCTTAGCATCCGAAAAGGGAACCAACAGACTATGAACGTGGTTGTCGTGGCGAGTTCACGACACACAACACTAAATTTTATTGTATTTACAATAAAACAACAACGGCTTTCCTAAAATTAGCGCCACTTAAAATGGAGATCATTAGTCTCGATCCATATTTGGTGATCTTCCACGATGTTATGAGTGATGGCGAAATAAGATCACTGCAGGAAATGGCTAAACCGATATTAAGACGTGCCACCGTGTACAATGAGGAGCGAAAACGAAGCGAGGTTGTATCGCGACGCACTTCGAAATTCGCCTGGTTCTACGATCACACAAATGAGATTACGGAGCGCATTAACAAGCGCATTGAAGATATGACTGGTTTCGATCTCGACGGTTCGGAGATGCTGCAAGTGATGAACTACGGTCTCGGTGGTCATTATGATACGCATTTCGACTTCTTCAATGTTTCGATGGTAAGAAGAGAAAAATGCTCGACCGCCAAGCATGTGCTTCTTGTATGAAAAATAATTAAAAGTAATATTTGACTTTCAGACGGCGGATATTGTAGCGATGCAAGGTGATCGTAAAGCCACGGTGCTCTTTTATGTAAGCAAATAAATGTTTAAATTTTAAATTTCATATATTTAACAGCGACTGTGTTTCTCTACAGATGACCGATGTTGATCAAGGTGGTGCTACGGTCTTTCCAAATATACAAACTGCTGTCTTTCCCAAAAAAGGCACGGCTGTGATGTGGTATAACCTCAATAATCGCTTCCAGGGTGACTATAAGACTTTGCACGCCGGTTGTCCGGTATTAGTCGGTTCGAAATGGGGTTAGTTTTTAGTTTTTAGTTTTGTGGTAAAATATCTCAATGAGCTGACTTCCTTAACTACGATTTCTTTCTTTGCAGTAACAAACAAATGGGTACGCGAGAGAAATCAAATGTTCAGGTTACCCTGCTATAAGGAACAATCGTGATTAACATTTAAATAACTATTTAGTGCTATTAATTTGTCTTTTTTATTTGCTTAGCATAAGTTCACAGAAGTCTTAGCTTTTAAAATGAAGTTTTTGTAAATTATAAAGTCGAAGTTAATCCTTTTGATAAATTTAAAATAAGTTTTTTTTTCGAATTTTTGGTAAAAATTATGCAGGGAAAAATTGTTGGCAGAGAAAATTTCTCTCCAATAAACGGCACGATCATTTTGTTCTTGGGATCTAATGTGAGCAAGTTTTTTTACCGTCAAATGTTCATGCAATATTGAATGTATGTCACTACTGCCCATAGATGTTTCAATCTCACGATGCACATAATTTAAAATTCAAATTTCAAGGGTGTATTTTTAAGAGCTTTAGGAAAGTTTTCAAAAAAAAAAAAACCCATAAACTTCAGAAAAATGTATGAAATATTTATTTGCATCGATAGTGCGGTCCATATAATTTAATGTTTGAAGATTATTTCATGCAAATGTTGGCCTTGACTCTGCCTCAAATGATCCATCCGCTTAGTCCACTTTTGCCATACTCTTTCCAACATTTCGGCCGGTATTTCGCAGATAAACGCTTCAATATTGTCCTCAAATGCGTCAATTGAAGCAGGTCTGTCTGTAGAGACTTTAGATTTAACATAGCACCACGAAAAATAGTCTAAAGGTGTTAAATCGTACGATCCTTGGCCTCCTACAATTGACCAGTCCAGAACGTGAAATAAAATGTTCACAAAACTCGCCCCACGATTAGTCCATCGTTACGTGTGCTGTGTGGCGTTTGGCACAGTCTTCTGGAAACCACATGTTATGCAAGTCAATCTCTCTTATTTTGCGCAGAAAAAAGTTTGATACCATCTCACTGTAGCGCTCACCACTCACAGTTACGATTCACATCATCTTTGAAGAAGTACGGTCCAATGATGCCCCCAGCCCATAAACCGCACCAAATTTTTCTAGTTGCATTGGTAGCTCTTGCAATGCTTCTGGCTGATCTTCCCTTCAAAATCGACAATTCTGCTTATTTACGCACCCATTAAGCTAGAAATGAGCTTCGTCGCTGAACACAATTTCTATTAAAAAGCAGCGTACCCGCTGCTTCTTGATTCGCTGAACTATTGTATATCAATGCCGCCGTATAACTCGTGCAACTCATCGTTCAATCGTCTGCGGTATTCGCCGTTGTCAGCGCGCAAAGGACCATAAATCTTACGCAAAACCTTTCTCTCAAAAACTCCTAACGCCGTCTCATCGGTTACTGTCATCGTCCATGCTTCCGCATCATATAGCAGAACGGGAACGATGAAGGAATTATAGAGTTTGGTTTTCGTTCATCGGGAGAGAACTTTACTTTACAAATGCCTACTCAGTCCTAAGTAGCAGCTGTTGGTAAGAGTGATTCTGCGTTGGATATCAAGGCTGACGTTATTGTTGGTGTTGATGCTGGTTCCTAGACAGACGAAATTATCTACGACTTCAAAGTTATGACTGTCAACACTAACGTGGGAGCCAATTCGTGAATGCGATGACTGTTTGTTTGATGGCAGGAGATATTTCGTCTTGTCCTCGTTTAGTACCAGACCCATTCGCTTCGCTTTTTTATCAAGCCTGGAGAAAGCGGAGCTAACGGCGCGGCCAGTAGTTGTACACTTTTAATGAAGATTGTACCTTCTTTATTCAGTTTTGCAGCTCTTATTATTCTCTCCAGCATTAAATTGAAGAAATCGCACGACAAAGCGTCACCCTGTCTGAAACCTCGTTTGCTACCAAACAGCTCGGAGAGGTCCAATTCTGACTGCGCTTCTGGTGTTGTCAGTTTACATAGCCGTATAAGTTTTGCGGGGATACCAAATTAAGACATAGAGGCGTAAAGACAGCTCCTTTTCCTGCTAGCGAAGGCGGCTTTAAAATCGACGAAGAGGTGGTGTGTGTTAATCCTCTTTTCACTGGTGTTTTCCAAGATTTGGTACATGGTGAATATTTGGTCAATGGTTGACTTACAAGGTCTGAAACCACACTGGTGGGCTTCAGTCTTTTAAACAATATGCTATACATGATCTTATAGGCGATACTAAGAAGGCTCATTCCACGGCGCAGACTGTGGAATCCCCTGTTTTATGGACTGGGCAGAACACATTTAGCTTCGAATCGTCAGGCATGCTTTCGTTCGACCATATTCAGCAAAGTAGCTGATGCAGCTCTAGTCATGTTACTTAATCCTGTGTATTTTCGTCAAAGAAAATTAAAAACGTCCCCATTTTTCTAACGTATTTTTACAAACAGTTTCATTTCAACAAATTGAGATCTTTTATTAAGTAATTTAGTCCATTCTGATGAAGCAGTCGAAATTTGAGGCTTGGCTAAAGTAAAGTAAAGTCTAAATCAGAGATTTTCCTTGATGTTTTTCGCTCGAGCTCTCAGGGCCTGTACCTCTAGGCTATTTTAAATGAGATCATTTAGTAGAAAGTAACTACTTATTTCGGCATCCACGGTTAATGCCGAACACGAAATACCTACAATCGTGATGGGCGTTTACACGTATATATTGTACAATCACCACAACCGCAAGGCAAAAGAAGTCGGTTTTCATACGGCCATAACACTTCGAATTGACGATCGATTTACGAATACGCCGAGTGAGAAACATGCCTTGTCGCTGAAAAAAATTTTGTCGGTTCTCCGGCCACACCTTCGCTCACTGTAGCGATATTTGAGATGGAACGGGCAAAATGATGAAGCACAGGGCTTAAAATAACTGTAACCGTTCCAGTGTCTTCAAATTTTTTTAAAATTTTACTTGAGTAGTTGACGATAATTTTTTACCATAATCTCTTCCCAGAGCATAAAACGTGGTCACGTCAGAAGTATATTGTAACTAAGGAAATTTTGTCTACCGCTGCTTAATGTACATACATAATAATATTTCTTGTTATATAAGCTTTATTAAATAAATGAATAGAAAGAAAGTATTTTCTAGTTTATTATGCGTACACACAAACATACATACACATACGAGTATACCGATATAATCACAGCGCTTCGAACTTTTCAGCCAGCTCATTGACCTGAAAGCTCTTCAGCATCCAAATCGCCTTTGGCACATAAACTCAAGTGCGCGCATATGCATATACATACACATATTTATAAATGTACAAATGTAAATTAGAAACCGGTTAACTAATTGATTCGCATAATCAGCAAGCTGCCGCTGATTATTATAGCACACTCATCGTTATGGCCTTTCTTTGACCTTTCCACGCAAGACAGTAGTGTTAAGAATTTCTTCGTAGAACTATTTTCTAACCATTTGACAGCGGATCGCTGGGTATTACGTGATTTCTGGTGAATTTTAGTTAGAATTTCGCGCTTTGTTGGAGTGGTCGTAAATAGTTTGGTTGAAGAATCGTTCATTTGTGTGCTAAAAGCATTGCGCATAGTTTTACGTGAATTTTTATTTATTTTTAATTTTATTTTTTGCTTCTTTGGAAATAGGGAAATTCAATGCCTGCGTAAAAATGCATTTTAAAATCAATTTAATATTTGTGATAAATTACTTGCTGTTATTTGTTTGTGGTGGCGTTCATAATGTGTTTGCTGGTAATACAGAATTCTTTTCCTCTGTGCATCAAATGTCCAAATTGGTGCAATTGGAAAGTGTCTTGTTGCAACAAATGCAAAAATATATTAAAATTAATGAAAATAAATTGGATTTTCTGAAAGAGTAAGTGAGTGTGATAGGTGATAAGTGTTAAATTATTTAAATCAATCAATTACACCTTTTTATTTAGAGCTATTTTCCTTAAAATTAATTTAATTTTATAACTTTCTTTTTTCTTTAATTTTATTATTATTTTTTACCTAATTTTCTCTAAATTTATTTTCCTTTTACTTGACATTTTTTAATTTAGTTTAATTTTCTTACTTTATTTTATTGGATTTCGCTTTATTTTATTTGACTTAGTTTTATTTCTAACTTTATAATTTCATTTCTTCTAATTTTTTATTGTATTTTAGCTTGATTTACTTTTTCTCGTTAATATTTTTCAATTTATTTTGCTTTGTTTTACTTTATTTTGCTTAACTTTAATAAAATATAGTATTTTATTTTAATTTTACTTAGCAAATTTCTATTTCATTTAATTTCACTCTTTTTAGGTGTAGTTTATTTTTTTGCGTTATAATTTATTAATTTTTTTTTTTTAATTTATTTTGCTCAACTTTACACTATATTTGTAAGTTGTAAGTTTCTATTTTATTTTATTTCATTCATTTTAAGTTTTGCTTAATTTTATTTAAGCTAATTTTATTAATTTTTTTCGTTATAATTTGTTTATTTTTCATTTTATTTTATTTTAAAATTAATTTATTTTGCTCAACTTTACACTATATTTTATTCCCATTTATTTTTTAAATTTAATTACCTGTAATTTTCTTATTTTGTTGCATCTTTTGATATTTGGTATTTATTTTTTACCCAAATTAGTTTTTTTTTGGGTTTATTTCATTTTGTTTTACATCATTTTATTTAATTCAATTTAATTATATGTTAATTTAATTACTTTTTAATATTATTTTAATAAATTAAATTTCTTTGTATGTCGAGCAATATTCTGTTATTTGAATATTAAATGTTTTACATTTAATTTTGTATTAATTTATAAAATGCTTTATATCATATAGTCTTTTATTATATTTTATGTTATTTGAATTAATTTATATTAATTTTGTCATTATTTATTTTATTTTCTTTATTTTTTATTTTGTCTTATTATTTTGTATTTTATTTTATTAGTTTTTATTTTATTTTATTTCATAACATTTTATTATATTTTAAATTGTTTTGGTTTACTTTATTTTATTTTTATTTGGTTTTATTTAACTTTATTTTATTTCATGTTATTTAATTTAATTTAAATTTAGTTATGTTCTATAATTTTTATTTTGTTTTATTTTATTTTATTTTGATTTCATTTATTTAATTTTATTTTATTTAATTATCGTTTTGTTTTATTTTATTTGGTCTACTCATTATATTATTATCATATTTCTTATAAATTCGTTTTGTTTTATATTAATTACTATTTTTACATTTTTTTTTGAGTTTTATATAACTTTATTTTATTTTATGTTCATATTAATGTAAATTAAGTTCTATTTCTATAATTTTTATTTTGATTTTTTGTTATGTTATTTTATTAATTTTTATTCCATTTAATTATTGTTTTATTTTTAGTATTTTGTTTACTTTTATATTATATCATTTTGTATTTTATTTTCTTTCATTATAATTTATTTTATTTTTTAGTTTAATATAACTTTATTTTATTTCATGTTTTTTAATTTAATATAAATTTAGATCTTTTATTTTTATTTTGATTTTGCGTTATTTTATTTGAATTTTATATTTTGGTACTCTTTTATTTGATTTAATTATTGTTTTATTTTATTATACTATGTTTATTTTATTTTTTCAATTATTTGTTTTTTTGTTGTTTTATTTTATATTATTTGATTTAACATCATTTTATTTTATTTAGTTTATTTTATTTTAATGTATTTTTTTTTTCTTTTTTCTTTTTTTAATTCAATTTATAGTATTTTATTTTATTTTACTTTTGATTATTTTATTTATTTTTATTTAATTATAAGATTTAAATTACAAACTTATTTATTTGTTTTTCTCTTATTTGATTTAAATTCATTTTTTTATATTTTGTTGTGTTTTATATTATTTTTATTTAATTATTATTTTTTATTGTATTTTGTTTATTTTATGTTATTTTCCCTTTTGTTTAATTTAATAGTGCTTTAGTTTTATTTTGTTTTGTAGTAGTTTATCTAGTTTTATTTTGCATAATTTTATTTTATTTTATTTAATTTAATTTAAGTTAATTTTATTTTATTTATTTGTTTTATTTTACATTATATTATTTAATTTAATTTAATTTAATTTAATTTAATTTAATTTAATTTAATTTAATTTAATTTAATTTAATTTAATTTTATTTTATTTTATTTTATTTTATTTTATTTTATTTTATTTTATTTTGTTTTATTTTATTTTATTTTATTTTATTTTACTTTACTTTATTTTTATTACTTTTTGTTGTATTTTATTTTATTTTATTTAAAATTTTTCTCTTTTATTTTTTTTTATTTTATATATATTTATTTTACTATAATTATTTTTTTTGTGTTTTATGTTATACTATTTAATTTATATATATATATCTGAATTACTTCATTTTATTTCATTTTTAATAATTTGTGTTTTTTCATTTTCTTTCTATATATACCACACTTGTCTCCCTCTAGCCGCTTAGCAATGTTGGAGAGAGATAACAGGGAGGCGCTGGAAGAAGGCCTAAATTATTTTGATAGTCCTTTGAATAAGTACTATCTTACGAAGCGATTGACTGTGGATTGGGCGCGTATTGAGAATATCATGCAACACGAGTCGGGAAAAAGTAATGTAATAGGTCTTTAGATAGAGTTAGGTTTTAATTAAGTTGTTGTGTATTAAGTTATAGTGTAGATTGTATTTAAATCTACTCGATGTAATTTTTCTTGGTTTTAATACTTTGGATCCGCATTTGTTGAAATGAATTCAGGATATAGGACATTTTATACACTATTAAAAGCTCAATGCTCATTGTCTAATCGAAGTGATTTTTATTTCACAACCAACAGAAACGCTCAATCGAATCGCAAAATACGAGAGCACCAACCATTATCCAGAAAACTCCGAGCTAGATGGCGCCATCGCAGGTTTTCTGCGCATACAAGAAGTGTATCGGTTGAAGACCGCAGATATGGCGCAAGGCATACTGGATGGGGTAAAGTATAAGTGAGTGTGATGAAATAAATAATTTGTAATTTCCACTGATGTATTTTGATAATAAAAGTATCTCTTTGGATGCACGGCTCTGCCTTGACATCGCCAAATACGCAGCCAAGGAGAACAATATGAGATTTACGCACTCTTGGGCTTTGGAAGCGCTAAAACGTTTACAGGACCCGGCAGAGGTATCTAACAATCCCACTGCGGTGTTGGCGGAGAAACTTGAAGTGGCTGAAATTTTGGAATTATTGGCTACAAGTAAAAAAAATTTAGGTGATTTGAAGGGTGCCAATCAAACGTATGCTGAACTCGTGCAATTACGTCCCGACATCGAGAACTATACCAGGGAATATTTGGTGTTTCTGAAGGAAAATGTACACAAAGAATATGTCAGTGTTGATCTCAGCGATGAGCATGAGGTGAGCGTAAATTGATTTTCTTCCATAAATAATAATAAAATAAAATTAAAAAACTCTCATACAGCCCCTACCTGCAGACCTGCATTCCACGGATCAATTCACGCGCTACAAGCACACCTGCAACGGTTTACTCAAACAAAGTCCGAGCGAAGAACGTGAACTGCGTTGCGGTTATCTCACCGAAACGGATCCATTCCTATTGCTGGCACCGTTGAAAGCCGAAGAACTCAATCATCATCCTTTGCTTGTGCTCTACCATGACGTTTTGTCAGATGCTGAAATCGAAATCATGAAAGGTTTAAGTGATAATCGCATTGTGCGCGCAACAGTGGCGGGTATTAATGGGAGCGTTGTCTCAGAGTTGCGCACAAGCCAGTTTGTTTTTATGCCGCGTACTGCTCACAAACTTCTCGAAGCTATTGATGTTCGCGCTGAGCAAATGACCGATTTAAATATGGAGTACTCAGAGGATCATCAATTTCAAAATTACGGTATCGGCGGTCATTATGGTCAGCATTATGATTGGTTTCAGTCAGAAGACGTAAGAAAAAGTAAAATTCCATGCGTATTATCTATCAAAACTTTTACGTTTTCTACATTCCCTTGTAGCTTCTAATCTCTAGTAGAGAAATGGGCAATCGAATTGCAACAGTGCTGTTTTATGTGAGTAAAATACATCCGAGTAAGATGAAAATATAATACAATTCTTCTAGTTAACCGATGTTGAGCAAGGTGGCGGCACCGCCTTTCCCTTCCTCAAACGATTGTTGATGCCAAAGAAGGGTGATGCCGCTTTCTGGTACAACCTGCATGCTGACGGCGTAGGCGATCTGCGCAATCTCCATGGCGGCTGTCCGATTATTGTGGGCTCCAAGTGGGGTAAGTAAGCCCGAGCTTGATGCATCTCTTTCTTGAATAAAATGATTTTTTTTCCTTCTACATTATTACAGTGCTTAATCGCTGGATTCGCGAGAATATTCAGAGTGATCGACGGCCATGTGAACTGTGGCCCGATAGTTGTAGGGACTGTGCTTAGTCATTGTCCAAGTATTAAAGTAATTAGTTAAGGTATATGTAATGATATATTTAAGATATTCAAAAGAAATTAATTAAAGTTCCCATGAACCACAATCCACCTTTAAACATGTTTCTTTGGTATTATTATTGGACCTAAAATTTGGTCCCTGGATCGAAAAATTTTTCTAAAAACTCTAAGTTATGACTGTCAAACAGTGTTGTTGTTGGGAAGAGATTTCAGTTCCCAGTTTATTTGCTGTTGTTGTTGTTTGCTGTTCACTGATATTCTGCAGACTAACGCTCTGGCTGCTCTGGATGGTGGAAAGGAGCCACCCGACTAAGGACTATGTGAGCGTGTTTTAGTCTTGAAACTCTCTGTAAGTCGCCACATCTTTTCATAGAATTTTGACCATTTCCATGACGGCCTTGGACTTTTTTTGTCTGGAAATGCATACTTGCTCCCATCTTAAGCTCTCGTTATCTAGCCCATGTTATCTCGCTTGCCACGTTACGAGGTAGGTAATATGTTTTCCGTCCACTTCAGTTTGACATTCCTAAGCTTGACGTTTTTTTGGACGCTGGAAATTGCTGCAACATACAACCATATTTCGGCCTTCGGGGAACTCTATCAGCCTGTGGAGGTATTTTTGGAGATATTATGTCATGGTTGCTAAATTTTGTGATTTCTTCTTTCCTCTTTCTTCTAGCGTTAAAATCACCAAGCCCCGTTTCAAGGCGTGGCCGTCATTCAGCGAACATTTGAAGAGTACCGATTTACTGTAGGTGAAGAGACGTTCATCCACCGGAGTATATGCCAAGATTCGGCGACGGTCTCTCTCCCCCACCACAAATCCAACACCAAGCGTTCACTACTTCATACGGCCGCCATAGTAGAAGAAATTTCACTAAAACCCACCTTTTGCCCTCCATGTCGCGTCCATCACACTTCTAAGGCGGCGGAGATGTCAGTATTAACCTTCTCAAGCAAATCCAACAGATATGCAGTGGCACTTTTCCGATTACAGTTGTTTGCTCTCAACAATGCTTCCAAAATACTGTTAAAGAACAACAAGATTTTACTGTGCAAAAAAAAAAATATTAAAAATGAAATTATGGACACTAAACATTCTCGATCTGAAATGCTAGAGCCAAAACTTGCTTATGAGTCATCATGCCCATGTGATGCGATATCACGGCGATCAATGGGATAAATATCGATTGGCATAAATTAGATTTCGCTACGTTAATAAAGGCAAGACCAGGTAAAGCTGTCTGACCCAGTGGGTCTCTCATAGACGATTATACATCGATAGTGTTGGCAGACGCACTAAATGCGAGCCTTGTTTTTTTACGGTTTTTTACGGGAACTTATGTAGTTGTTTTGGCTCCTTAGCTATTGTCAATTGAAGATCCTGTCGCCATACAGCGTCAAGTAAGCATAGCTTTTGTCTTCCGAATGCGGGACATTCATAGATTACGGGCTCCACTGTCTCCACACTCAGACCTATATTAATCGCATGAGGCGTCCAAAGACAATGCCCTTTTAATAGTTCCATCAGCAGCCTGAAGACCGTCCTCTTTACCGATAGCATAAGCATTGTAAGTTGTGTGTTCTACAGTTTTTGCGATTCTGCCAACCTTTGCTCCTTCCTGGAGTCTATTCGCAGGACGAAGTAGTATCACTTCTTGCTTCTGCTTCACCTCCTTGAATATAACTAGACGGTTCGATATTGCGTCAGCTCTCTCATTACCTTCAATGCCCGTCGCCCCTCGGTAGGGGGGATCCGAGTATTTCGGATAAGAAAATCAAAACCACGCTTAGAATAAACTGCAAGTGCTTCTCTTTGTACGGCAAACATAAATTAGAAGAAGAGCTCGGTCGAAAATCGTTGCAGCTGTTACAAAGCGTGAATTATATTAGTCTCTTCTTAACGATATTAAAGAGAAGGTCCTAAGCATGAATTGCGAGAAAAATCGAGAATGCGCGTTAATAACCTCCAACACTTTTCCTTTCTATAAGCAACGAACTTAATGACATAAATCTAAATTGAGAAACAAATGAAGAAAAATGCATTTTATTTTTCAGGTGTTTATTTGAGTTTTATAAGTGTCTTCTGAAGAAACTTCAGCAATAAAATGTAGTTGATTTCACTTAAAACTAATTCCATGCGGTTCGTTTTACCAAACAAATTCTTTTATGCTTCATAATAATTTCTTTTTGTGTTTTTCTTTTGTAATTTTTGTAAACAGCTAAGAAAATCGGTTGTGTTTTTGTATTTTTTTTTTATAATTTTTAATTAAAATAACATGCCATTCACTTTCACATTTTTATTTCGTTTTTTAATATTTTTTAATTTTTTTTTCTGCGATGCTGCACCTTTATCATATATCATTTGCACGTATCAATGCTCACGTTGTTTCTATGTAGACATTTAAGACTTAGACCAAATACATATTTGTTTCTGTTTGTATTTTGCCACCAATTACCATGGAGTTGAAAAATAACATTGAATTTAAACATTTATTTGTAAAATATTTGCATTAAATTTTTTTGTTTTAATTTTTTTTTCTTTGCGTGTGTGTGCGATTTCGTGGTTTTTTCGCTTGTACTGGGTTTTTTTGTTTTGTTTTTTTTTTTTCATTCAAATTTTATTTATTTATTTTTATTTTTTTAGTTGCGTTTTATTTTTATTTTAGTTTAACGAAAATTGTTTTTGCTAGATATACTTTTTTCAGCATTTCTTTGATTTTCGTTCTTGGTCTTGAAATATTTTTTTAGGTGGTTTACTTTACTTTCGTAATCATAAGCGTGATTTACTTATTGTTTTTTTTTTTTTTTGTAACAATATTTTACCAAATCGAATGCGGTGTTGTTTTGTTGTCTAAAGTGTGAGTTTCTTCTAAAACAAAAGTTGCATTTTTTCGAAAACAAAACATGTTTTGTTTCAGTTGAAAATAAAATTTGTTTTGTTTCATTTTAAAATAAAGTTTTTTTTGTTTCATTTGAAAATAAAATTGTTGTTTTTTTTTTTGAAAACGAAACATGTTCTGTTTTTTAATTTTTCTTGGTGCTATAATAATTTTTGGACGAAAAGCCGCAATTTATAAATGAATTAATGTTTATTTATGTGTTTTTCGTTTGAAAATGCTATTTTTAATTAATAATTGCGCTATTTCTTTTTATTGAAAAATTGTTAATGATTATATTTTTTTTTAAATTTATTTAATTTTAATTAATTTTCTATGACTTTTGCTTTATTGTGCGGTACATCAGATACCGTTTAGGCAACGGAAACTAATATTATATGCATTATTTCCCAATATTTTTTTGTGTGTTTTTTTTCTTTTAGATTTTAAACTATCTTTGCGGCTGCTGGTATCTAAAGTGTTAAATAATATTTTTATTTTATTTTTTTTATTTTTTTTTCAAAGTTTCTTCATTTAATGATTTAGAGTTTTATTTTCATTTTAATTTCAATTTCTTATATTTTTTAAATTCGCTTCAGATTTGATTTTTAGTTCTACGCATTTCATTTGATATACATAAATATGTATGTATGGACTTAAACTCTCAATTGCCTGCGCGTGGTAAGTAATAGCTTCGGTCAAGCAGTTTGCCATCTTTTTTATAGAGTAAATATTACAAATATTTTTTTGTATTTTTTTTTGTATTTTTTTTTTGTATTTTTTTTACAGTTTTGCTTCGCACATTGAGTGTTTGGTAAAGTTTTCAAAAACAGGGATTGTCATAAGGGGCACACATGTAACATCAATAGTGATATTTTTATTTCTTCAATGCAGTTCATAGCTTAATATTATAATATACATACATATCCATATAAGTATATGTATGTAGTATTCATAAATCCATTTTCAACATGTTTTTGTTTATACATTTACATTAAATAAATACATTAATTTAAAACAATAGTATTTTCATCTGTTTATAGTTATATTTATAAGTTTTTGTTTTTGTAATATTTTCTTAAAATATACATTTTTCATATTTTTTTGCAATATTTGGTTTACATTTATTATAAATAAATCCTTTTTTCATTAATTAAATTGTTTTAAAATTTTAATTTTTCTAATTTTTCCATCATTTTTCTCTTCTTCGTTTGCTACTTTAGGCGTTTATTGAAATTACAGTTTCTTAATTTCATATTTTTTAATATATTTTACTTGCACTTTTAAACATATACGTTTATACATATACATATATATATATAAATACATGTGTTTTATATATAATTAATAATAATCTTTCTAAATACCATATATTTAATAAGTAACAGCTATATATATATATGTATTTTGTCAAAACATTCAGTGTATACATTTAGATAATAAGTTTTGAAATTTCATTTGGATATGATAAAATTCATCTAAATTTTTTTATGGGCTCTACTAAATCGTGGGTCATGAGGCGTGTGACCGCCATTTACGAATTCCTTCATTTATATATGTAGTTGTGCAGTCATAAAATGTAGAGAAAAATTATTTTCAATTTTTTTTTAAATTTTTTTTTTGCTGTGTAAAGTATTTTTTTTTGTATGTAGGTATAACTGCCTTTTCCGGTGTCTAATAAATTTTTTATATTTCTTGGTTAAGTTTTCAGCGCTACAAATGCGCAGCCACTGGCTCCTCCCTTAGCTTCCTTCAACGAGTTTTAAGTGATTTTTTTTTTTATTTTATTATTTTTTAAAATTATATTTTTATTAATTTATTGTGTGTTGTTATGTCAAATTTTGTTGTATTGTAATTTCTGCTCACGCTTTAAATTTCATAATTACGAAACTTATTGGCCACATCGGAATTCTCTGTGCCCCATTCGGTCTTTCTATTGCCATAGTAGAGCGCAGCACCACCCTCGGAGGCACGGCGATGTGCTGGGTTCGGTGATGCCGCCGACAAGCCACCGCTGCTGCCAGCGCCAGTGGTGGCGCCCGATTCGGGCAACATGCGATCTTTAGTCTTCGGTGTGGCCCAATGCATAGACTGAAGGAGAAATATTATGCAAAGGTTGAGAAAAAATAATAATTAAGAACTGAGTTGCCGCATGCATACCAAAGTTAGAGCAAACTTATGACAATTTCCTTAACAATTTGCCCACACTTCAGTATTTTGGTATATTAGAATGGTATATAGAGTTAAAACATAAATACATACATACATAAATGGATATGGAGTGGGGCAAATTCACAACATCAAGAATTTTTAGTAGAAATCCATTAATACTTTGATGAATTAAATAAGTAAAAAATTGGTGTAATTCGTAAAATATTCTCTGGCGGTATTTGGAATGCACTGTCAGGGTTGAGAAAAGCTTAAAAATATTATTGCTTAAATTATTTTCATTACTACTGAATTTTATATAAATAAAATTTTTTAATATGATTTATTTATAATTAGCAATTTAATGGATACGACGAACTCTTCTCGCTTCATTTTCACGCCTTCAGTTGCATAACAAAGTGGTAATAAATAACAGAATATTCTAACAACAAAGACAACAGACTTCACTCGATTGACGAACGTCCTGGACTCCTCTGTAGATACGTGAAATAGTGAAAGAAATGGTTTTGACCGATCTCCAAAACACAATAAGAGAAGTTGCTGATGATGCCCAACTAACGAGACGATGTTTTGTTAATACGAAAATAAACTTAACGCGATGATTTTGTATCGTTTCGGCGCCATATTATCCGAACGAAAATAAATCTTTAAGGTTGCAACCGTAAAACTTCGACGTTAACGTCAATGGTTGCTTGCTATGATCTTAACAGCGCGCTTAACATTTAACATTGTCTGTTAACTATTTAACTGCTTTAACGATAACATTGCCAAAGGTGAAGCAAACGAAATGAAACCGAAACGATAGAAATTTTTTGATTAACGTGAAATTCAGCGTTACGATGCATACCATATTTTTTTAATGGGAACTATTTTCAAGGCGGCATTCATCAATGTAGACGAATAAATAATGTTCGAAAAATAAAAATTATTGTTCTCAAGTGTACAACTTTGCTTCCGCCGTTTTTCCCCAAAATTAAAAGCTTTATTGTGAAAAAGTGCTTACAGATATATTATTCAAAGTATTGCCCTTCTCTAGCGATAACTTTCTCCCATATTTCCGGCAATTTTCGGATCCCGGCTCGGAAAAAAAAGTCTTCTTCTGACGCTATCAATACAGCAATCCATTTTTCCAATTCTTCGAAGGATTGAAAATGTTGATCTGCCAGGCCGTGTGCCATCGAACGGAATAGGTGGAAGTCAGAAGGGGCGACATCTGGGGAATACGGCGGGTGGGGCAAGACTTCCCATTTCAGCGTTTCCAGGTACTTTTTGACCACTTTTGCTCGATGTCCCTCGGTTTCAACTCGTACGGCACCCAGTTTCCTTCTTTCTGAATCATGCCCAGGGCCTTGAGACGTTTTGAAATGGCTTGCTGACTCACTCCCAACGATTCGGCAAGCTGTTCTTGGGTTTGGCACGAATCTTCATCAAGCAATGCTTCTAGTTGTTCATCTTTGAAGGTTTTTTCTCTTCCACCACCATGTTTGTCTTCGACATCGAAATCACCATTTTTAAAACGTTGAAACCACTCCCGACACGTTCTTTCACTCAGAGCAGCATCACCGTAAGTTTCTGAGAGCATTCGATGCGCTTCAGCTGCTTTTTTTTCGAATTGTAACAGAAAAGTAAAACTTCCCGCAAATGGCGAGAATTAGGCACATAAACGGACATTTTCGAGCGTGAATAATACGAAAACAAGAACAACTGTCACTGAAACGGCGATGACAATTCGTTAGGCACTGTCCACACTCACTTTAAAGGCATTATCATCTATGTATTTCAACCAGCCTCAGCCGGTACAGCCACCTATCGGAAAACGGCGGAAGCAAATTTGTACACCTGATATTTTTGACCGGGATCGAATGAAATAAAGTTTAAATTTTTTAAATTCATCGGTGCAACTGTTGGGAGGAAATTAAAAATTTTTTTTCTATTCCAATTTAGAAAATAAAAACTATAAAGTTACTTCAAGCGGGTGAAGCACAGATATCATTGTGTGAAAAAAGTTCAAAAGGTTTTGAATATTCCATTTCTATGTCGATAGCAGAGAACTCAGTGGTATAAACTTGCTTCTGAAATTTTCCTGAAATTTTGCTCAAACGATTTAAGAAAACCATTTTAGGATTGTCAGAAATTATTGCCAGATTCTCAAGATTATCCAAAATGAATTGTCGTTAAGGTATTGATGGTTAAAGCCAAAAAAAACCAAGACACTTTTACAGCTGATCACCGCATACTGATGAAAGCCCAACTTTTACTTTGACTCATTTGCATTTCAGTGGATTAAATACTTTGAATATAATGGTGGGTTTTCGCACTTAATTTCACTCACAAAATGGCGTTAAATTTTCTCTGCTCGGTCTTCATCGTTCATTCATGGCTTTTTTCTTCTTGAAATATGTGTGGTTGTTTTCAGATATGATTTAAAAAAAGTACATTTTACCGGGTATTGTTTTTTTTAATAAAGTTTTCATTATTTTTCACCAACTTTGTTAAGATTAATTTAGTTATTGGTTACAAGAACGAGAGGACTCAAGCAAGAAAATTTTCAAATCGAAAATTACATACATATAAAGTTTACAAGCGAGCATAAACAGTAGGTCAAGTAAGAAGTTCGTTCGGTTTTTTATTGATTTTGCAAAATATGATAACTTTGTGTGCATTTGTCCGATTTAAGTCGAGTATGCACCGTTTTTTTCGTAAATTTGTTACCAACGAGATGCCAAATTCATTCTACCCCTCTCGTCGCCGTTAAACTCGGCTTCGTCCCTATTGGCAAAAACCTCGGAGAGCCAATTTTCACACCTTCTCACCATTAACCACTTGGTGTCAGGTCCAGACTATAAGGTGGGAGCATTAGGATCAGCCATCCGAGCTCCTGGAGCCTCTGGCGCATCACCAACGACGTGTGTGGCCTGGCGTTGTCCTGGTGGAACACAATTCTCATTCTCTGTTGATCAAAGATGGCCTCTTCTGGATGAGTGCTGCCTTCAAGCGGTCCGGTTGTTGGCAGTAGAGGGCCGAAATGAACGTTTGGCCATAGGAGAGCAGCTCGTAATATATTCAATCCCACCAAACACACGGCAAAACCTTCCTCGCCGTCAATCCGGTCTTGGCCACCGTCTGGGCTGCTTTCCCGAGCTTTGACCACTACCGTTTGCGCTCGATGTTGTCGTAAGTGACCCATTTTTCATCGCTAGCTACAAACCGCTCCAGAAACGGGTCGATTTTGTTGTGATTCAGCAGCGATTCGCAGATGGAAATTCGGTTCGGTTCGGTTCGTGCGGCAACCAAACATCGAGCTTCTTTTTGTATTCAGGGTTATGCAAACTGTTTTCTGGCTTATCTTTAGTTCCTAATCAATTAAAAAAGTGCCGACGAGACGGTCTGTTTCAACTATTTTCTTGATTTCCGACGACAGGCCTCCCGATGCGTGGTGCATCTTTGACATCGAAAATACCAGAACGGAACCAAGCAAACCACCGTTCGTATACAGTATCGGGCCTATAAACTAAATTAATTTTTCAGCAGCTTTGGCTGCTTTTTCGTCTTGATCACAGAAAAATTGTAAATTATAGCGAATTTTCTCTTTGCTGGTGTCCATCTTTGACGAGCGTTCACAACGTACTGAGTCAATCAATCGAAAAAATGTCAAAGATAAACTTTTAGTGCGAATAAACACGTTTTCAGCGCCGTATGGTATGACATGATGCAACACGTAACACGAGCACTATGGACAACGACGCCATCTCTTAGATAAAAACCGAACGAACTTTTTACTGGACCTAGTATGTATATATGTACATAATTTTTAAATACCGATGCTTCACTGTTGTTTTTTAATTAAATGTCTGCGCTTCCTTCCACACATTGGCTTAATAGAATTTTGGTTATAGGAAAATGAGGAAATGACAATATTTCATACGTAGCATTCGATTACAAGTGTGGGAGCACCGTTATGAATTGGACAAATGCATATCGATTACACCAAAAACAAATATGTATATTTACATACTAATACACACATGTACATAAGGTCCTGGGCAAATGCAAAATGCAACTGGAAATGTTCGAGAAAAAGTTATGCAAATACAAACAAACACACGGAAGAAAACGGACGTTGGAGCAGCATTGAGGATACCAGCTCTCTCAGGGATATGCAGACAGCGGAAAGCAATTTTGCAAAAGAGGGAGGGGAAATTATAATGCAAATAGTAAACCGACAAAATAACCAACTGTGGGAGGACAAGAAGAGAAACAGGCGGGAAGAGAGCAAGAGAAAGAGAGGATGATTTTTTTTCTATTTTCATTAAGGTGTGGGTGACTGCATAGCGCATTTTTAGTGTCGCAACTTTTATTTTACAAAACATTTTCATTACTTAATGCTACCGGAGTGGGTCGTTTGTACATAAAACACACTTTGTCATTGTGGTAGTGTAGGGAATTGCATGCGCTTAGTTGCATACACACATACACACACATACACACAAGTATTTCATGACACTACAATTTGAGTGAAGTTTTTCAAGCAAAACGCATAATTTGTTTGAAGCTAGAGGGGGGTTTTAGTTCGTGTAGGACACACCAAATATTTTGAGGTTATGCACGTCGAGAAAATGATTGTTTAAATTTTATGTGCATTTTTTTTTTGAGAAAATTTTCTTCAAATTTCTCTTCATTTTATACTCGCTGCGTTCGATTTGCCACCCGTACCTCCTTATCCACTTTCTCAGCGATTGTGTATCTTCTCACCTGTCCGACATGCTCCTTCATACCCAACCAATTCTTGTAGCTCATGGCGATGCCACTATTACGCCATTTATCATAGTTGGCGCGCTTCTCCGGATCGCAGAGTGTTTCCTTCGCCTCCTGCAAGAATGACAAAAGAAAAGTTTGTTAGCGCAAGTGTGGGAGGAGCTTGAAGGGATAGACATTTTAGCTGAAAGTAAATTTACATATAAATTGCTTTAAAGTTTAAATAATGCGTTAGCGCTGACAGCTATTTTATACGAAGGGGATCATTACTATTTGAAGGTAAATCCATTTAGTGTATGATGTACCATACATATATCAGCGGTGCACGGAGGACCACGACAAGTGAGGCTCTAAATGTAATACCCTAAATCTTGCCACTCAACTTGGTGGTCTAACAGCCGGTAGCAATGAGTGCACGATATCATACCAGGTTATAGAGATGCGACCCAATTATATTGATTGATAACTACTTCAGAACACGAATTCCCAGTAGAGAAGAAAGCGTAGTTAATTAACATACTCCAGTTAACAGCTTGAAAATATACACGGAAGGAAAGTTGGTAGCGGTATCTTCTCATACAACCCTACGATGGAACTCTCTTTCAGACTGTCTGACCATAGCAGTGGTTTTCGGTTGGAAATATCTGTTGTAAGGGAGGCTGCAAAGCAAGTCGGATACAGCTCTAAAACATAGGAATATCTATATTTTCATACCAGTCAGACAGCGGGTTAGGGGCGCAAGAGTTTACCCGCGGTAAGGCATGCCTGTCGTAAGAGGCGAGTAAAATCCAATAGTTCCCGCGACAGTCGGGTCTTTATACCGAAACGACCCGGTTTTTATCCGGCCAAGGACTGTCACTCCCGCAATATTCCCCAAAAAGTACTTTGGGGAATAATTTTTCGGTTACAACAACAACAACAACAACAGAGTGCTCGCGGACATCCCAGTCGTTCCAGAAATGTTACGAAGCACGGAAAACGCGCTGGAATCGTTGTACAGCTGCCAAAGGGATCTACTTTGAATGGAATGGCAGAATTATTTAATTGTCACACCCCGTATAAAAACAAGCCGATGCAGAAGCTGCAAGGAAGATGAGGAGGAGGAAACGGTCACCCATGTCTTATGCGACTGTCATGCTTTGAACAGGGCTAGGTTTCGGAATTTCGGAACCCTGCTGTTCGATGGTCTATCGAAGAGTGAAAACGTCAGCCTGATGGTCGAGTTTTTATGGCTTCACAATGGGTCTTAGTCAGGTTTCGTCAGTAGCCACCATAACCTAACCTTACCTAAGCTTATTCAGTGCAGAGTGTATTTTGCAAATTCTGCCAAATGAAAAGAAAAACGCTCGAATGAAATCCCATGTTCTCATAGTAAAGAACAAGGCGTATTTACAAAAAAAAAACATAAAATGTAAAGCTGCAGTACATCAAAAGCGAAAACTTGGTATGTGTTTTCTCTGCTCTCTGAGAGCGCTTCTCAACAACTCGGTATAAGTGAGAATATTATACTCTTTACGTAAGCATGAGACTTCGGGCTTTCCGAAGGCGCAATCAAAAAAATGGTGCACTGAGTTTTGCCGAAGTAGAGGGAAAAGGTCGGTCTGCCCTGTAATGTGTAACTGTAGGGCAAAGATATAGAGAATGGAAGAGGACACGCGGGCGCTTGTGAAGCTTCGATAAGAAAAATGCTCAAAAAATCTGTGAGAAGATGCGGCGAGTTACTGGTGGACGATGTTAAGATTATAATAAATTAATAAATATTTAATGGTGTTGGTATCGCGTTTTCAATACCCAATCAACGATAAAAAATAAATTATATAAATTTAAAATAAAATAATTTCGTTAAAAATGACAATACAACAGCAATTGGACCGTCCGAAGGAAGATATCGACCAGAAGTCCTCAGCTTTAGCCAACTGTAAGGGAATTGAGTTTCATCAGGACAACAACATTCCACACCAATCGATAGTGATTCACCAGAAGCTCCGAGAACTTGGTCAAGAGGTTCTTATGCATTTACCTTATGGTCTGAACTTCGAGGTAAGTGACAACCATCTGTTGCGATCTATGGCGAATGATCTGGCTGGTAAAGATTTGACGTCAAGAGAAACCTGAGAAATTTGTAAGAGGGTTTGTAAGAGAGTGAAATTCTTTGTGAAAATATTGAAGATGTCTCGAAGTCACTATTAAAGCTGATGTGCACCTACATATATATTTTCACTGATATTTTAAAGTTTAGTGGTCTTGATACCTATTATATATTAATAATATGTTTATGTATGCATGTGACAAAAAAAAAATCATTTTGTTGACCAGTGTTATTTAAAATGCTGCGTGAATTGTCCAAGTCAATAGCCTCTAGGTTAAAACACTGTTTAAAATCAATTTTTCATTCGTTATTTACACAGGCACCCAACCGAAATAAAAGTATTTATTTATGAAAATGAATAAATAAACAAATAAATAAACCAAAAAATTTTTATTTTATAAAAAAACATGCCAGAAAAATAGCAATCGCATCCGATTACAAAACAAACAACACAACAACGCAATTCTCTGTCTCCAACTCTCAGGCAATTCATTTAGCAACAATTTTGCTTGCATACTTATAGGCGCTGAGCAAACAATTGTTCACGTATTTCCAAACAAACATTTAAAAGCATTTCTATGGTGGCATTCTCCGGCACGTAGCAGTAAGCTGTCGCATGCTGCTTTCTACAGGCTTGTGAAGACATACATATGGACAACGTTATGTATATGTACATGTATATATATATATATATTTACATATTAGCATTTTTTTCATGCATAAGAATGAGTGTACAAGCCCACAAACACTTTAACCATAGAAGACAATCTTGAGCAACAACAAGTGGTTGATGGGGCACAATAGTCGTCAAGTATCAGTCAAGTTGTTTTAACTACAACAACACTTCATAAATGAGTGTGCTATTTTTAGCAATATATCTACATACATGTGTATATTAGAGTATGTGTCTTGGTCTCTATGTTCAAAGTGTAGGCGTAGCAACAAAGCCAAACCACGCTTTGACTGACTGACCGACCGACCGACCGACCGTCCGACCACTAACCCACTAAAATACTCACCACTCAAGCGGAAAACCAACAAATGTGGGAGAACAACGCAGATGCGCTTGTTGAGTGGTAAGTGGAGTTGAGAGTGTGCGGTTGGAAAAGGAGTTAGTGAAGTGCCGCAAGATGGGCGTTATACGAGTATGTGGTGAGCCACAGCCTTTGGCGTAAATTAAAGCCAGCGCTGCTACTGATGAGTACTTTAGTTTAATCTGAAAATTGCTCCACCATTTTTAAGATTAAAGTTTATATTTCAACTTCAAAAATACAAAGAAAAAAGTTTAAATATGTGTATATGCCTGTAGGTGAGTCTGCCTACTTTAATTTATCACCGTAGACAACAACAGCTATTGCAGCAATGATTAGACTTTGGAGTGAGATCTTGCTATAAAAGCTTACAAAGACCAATAGATCAAATAACTGCGGATGCCATTTAGTCGAATTAGCTGAGTGGTTATTAGTTCGGACTCCTATTTCGAGTTATGGACCGGCCAACAAGCAAATTTATAGAAAATTAATTTGTATTCCTTTCATGCACGTGAACCTTTGTTCCTGAAGGAGCAGCGAAAGGCCCTTCAAAATTTAAACCCATGCGATATGTATGACGATTTGTATTGACTAAGCCTAGTCCGTCTTTCCGTCCATCTGCCTATTTGTACGCAAACTAGTCTCCAAGTTTGTGACATATTTCAACCAAGCTTGGTACACAGCTGAAATAGTGCACTAAAGCGATCGTTTTCCGAAACCGGCGTGACTTACGCGAATAAAGCCGAATCAATAATAAAGCGCCATTTGTCACTTCTCTTTGCTATTCGGCCCCAATTTGGATATATCAAATGAAACCAGGTCGCGCTCTACCAGGTCATTCCAACGAGGTGGAAGTCTTCTTATTCCTCTGCTTCCTCCGTTAAGTATTGCATGGAATACTTTCATAGCTGGAGGGAACTCAACGACTCGGACGACATGAACTAGCCGGCGTAGACGCTTTTCTCTCGAATACTATCAGACTTAGCAGACCCTAAGCTAGATGAAATTATCTACGACCGAGGCGAGTTGAAGTATGCCGACTGTTTGTTTGATAACAGGAGATATTTTGTCTTATTCTATTCCTCGCCTCATTGTCATGCTTGGAGTAGGCAGAATTAACAGTGCGACTGCTAAAGCGATGTCATCGGCATACGCCAGCTGTGATACACTCTTGTAAAAGAAGGTCTAATCAGTTAGTCGATGGTGGACTTTAGTCTATGATACAATATGCTCGAAAGGACATAATATGAGATATTAAGTAAGCTTACCCCACAATAATTGGCTAAGATCCGCACCCTTTTTTATGTACTGGGCAGAGCATACTTAGGTTCCAATCATCGTGTATGCCTTAGTCCCACCGTATTCCGCAAATCAGCTGGTGCGTGCACCTTCTCAGCTCTTCACCACTATGTTTAAATAGCTCAGCCGGTAAGTCATTAGTTATTCGAATGTCTCGCTGAGTTAGCCTCAGCAAATATTGAAAATCTCATTGCCTTTGTAAGGCACACGAAATGGTTCGATCATTTAAGAAGGTGAAGGTAAGAGCCTCAGCGATATCACAATGGACATATTGGACTAAGTGTGCTGGTAGCGACTCAACTCAAATCAGTTCTAGTCCCTTTGTTGTTCTTTAAGTGGGTAACGACTATTTGAACCTCGACTAATCCGGATAAATAAATGTCCTTTCTATCATCGTCGATTAGGGTTTCGGGTTGACCATCTCTGGTTGTTGCACTTTCACTGCCATTCAGCAGTCTAAAGTAATGTTCCCTCCATACATCAAGTACCAGTATACTCTGAACGTCGGCCACCAGGTTTCTACATTAGTCCTTAAGTGACTATGCTCCGGTCTTGAAACCTTCTCTTAGTTGTCGTATCCTGTCAACCAGCTTCACAAGATATTTATAGTCACCCATTTTAGACTCTTTCTTTTAGTGCTGGCAACTGCGTCTTGCTTCCCTCTTCAGTTCTTGGTATCTTTCCTACCCTACAAT